CATTCCGAATGCTGCTTCACCCCCCCGGCCAATCAGCGTTCGATGCAGCGTGCCGTTTCGCGAAAAGCGACCGGCAATCGGTCGCCGGTGTGCCTTCGCCCTTCCCTCACTGTTCTTCTTTAAACGCGTTAACGGTGCGAACGTCGCGCCCAGGGTCGCTTTGTCTCGGCGAAAACGATCGTCGTCGTCATTCCTCCGCGACGAAAACCTCTCATTTCAAGCGTTCCACGATTTTCTTTGCTCGCTGGCCCGTAGGTATTTCGCCCGTCCTTCCCTACGCGTCGAATCGATAATTTCGTCCACGGACGGGAAACGCTACGGAAGGAATTCCAGGCGACGAAATTTCATTATGGAAATGGAAGCGGATCATAACTGTTGCGGTATCCGATGTCGCGGGCACGTCGACGCGAATCTTTCACCGCGGATACGTGACGGCGACGGAACGTCGCGTCGCGTCGCCTCAGTTTCGTCGCGCCCTTTGGTTATCCAGCGTATACACGCTCCCGTTTATCGTTACACGATACGTTGTAACATTTACGAACGCGGGTGGTACACGAAGCTACCGAGTTTCGACGAGAATCGGAAAGCAAAACGCTGAATCGTTCCCTTATTAACGTTTTACAATTGGCAATGTTCGACGAAGCGACGTTACGCAATCTCATTGTGTCGAACCATGGAACGAATTACGTAACCTGGTTATGAAAACGATTCGCATTCAACATGGCGCGAAATTTCGCGGAAAACCGTCTCCATAGACAACGCGCCCCTGTAAAATCGACGACGAATATCACGCGCCTACCTGAGTTAAAAATAACCACTCCCTAACGACTAGGCACCACCAAAATAGCCCTCGTTGAAAATAATAAATCATCAGGTCTACAACTTCCTAATTTAACCCTTGTCTACGCTACCCTGCATCAGCGTACAAGATGAATGGACAGGTGCAGTCGTACGAAATGATTCTTAATCGTCCTTGATCTACATCGCTGCGGCGCTACCTATTTTGCTGGAAATCGAATCAATTCGTAGAAAATATCGAGCACGCTTGATGAATTGTTAACCCGAGGCAACTTATCGATAGGACGTTAATTAGATTACGCGTCTTTACGCGAGCATCGTCCGAATTTCGATCCTTGCTCGAGGAGACTTTAAAAGTAATAATTTGCGAGGAACCGACCGTGTCCATTCACGTCATCGACTCGCTGTTCGGGTCCTTCATCGTCCGTTAATTACAACGAATTTGAAAACGCGAAATCGTTCCAAAATTGACGATGACATTCCCTGTCCGCGTCTAAGCCGTTTCTCTCCGTCCTTCTTTCAGCGTCGGTGGGGTGCGCAACTTTCGAGTAGTTTCTAATTAATGACTGATTGGCAGCTCAGCGTTCTTCTACCCCTGACTACGGCTCCTTTTCACCCCCTTTGTTCCTCAAATCCGTCTGCCCCTTCCGCGTCCTACACCCTTTCGACTCTCCGTCCCGCTTCCTCCACCTTCTTACCGTTCCACTGTCTCTCTCTCTTCCGAACACCCATCTCTTTTGCGTTCAGCCCTCAGACCGACGGACCATCCCGTTCCATTTCGACATCGATTAATTCGTCCCGTTTCCAAGCAAGCGCATCCTGCCCCGATATATCCTCTACTTCTTCTCGCGATCACATCTTGCATCCCGAAACTCGGTCCAAGACTCGAGCGTCTTTTGAACGAAACTCCTCGTTCCTGTATGAAATTTGGAACTTGGTCTTTGCGAGTGAAGAATAGATCTCCCGTTACGAATCGACCGATCGAGCATGGCAAAGCAAGTCCCGTTAGTTTACGGCAATTCGGAAGAGTAGCGGACAGTTTAAAAGGAAGTAATTAACTGATCGCGAAGAGCAGCAGTCCGTAAAACCTTGTCCGATCATGGTAATACAGTTTGTATAATAGAATTTTTTCACGGTGAACGAACAAAGCCGGTCGGCTGTTCATCTCGCGACCATGGCTGTTCGAAAAATCGGATTCGATCCGTAAATACGATCGACGGGGAAGAAGAAGCAACGACGCGACGCGTCTCGTCGGCCCGAACGAATCGCCCCTCGATGAGATCTCGAACCCTTCGGCTCGACTCGTGCAGTGCGCGCGCAAAAAAAGAAAAAAATAAAACCAGTCGCTTTATCCAGTGGGTGAACAAAGACGGATAATCGCGATTCCCGTTTGAATTTATTTACCCTACAAACGCTACCTCTCCGAGGAGAAAGACGCGTGCTCCTCGCGAGGAACGACGGGAAAAGGGGCCGGCCGCGCTCGCTGCCGTACTTCAAAGACGCGAGTCGACCGCTCGGTGATAAAACCGAATTTGAAATTTTCCGATGAATTATGCCAGTCTTTTTCCCGGGGCGCGCGGCGGCCGACGTGAAAGCGCTCCCTCCTGGCCAGGGGTTTATTCAGAGGATCATAGAGGTACGGAACCAATGCGTGCACGCACGCAGCGGCAACCCACGCAGCCACGCGCGTACTTTTTTCTCTTTCTCTCCACCTCGCCCTCGGTCGCTGGTTCTTTCCCCGTTTCTTTCTCTCGATAAACATCTCCCTTCATCCGCGATCACGATCTCCGTCGCACTCCTCTCCCGTGCCGATCGTCGTTCTCTGTCCGCGCGCGGCAGAGAGGCCGGCGGAGAACGTAGCGAGCGATCAAATAAAAGCCCGTGTTTTCCCCGATATTGAACCCTAAGCTAAGCCTAACCTGCCCCAACCTTCGCCTACCGCAACGTGGCCTGGCGTACAGCGCGTAGGGGAGAACGTGGAGGCAAGGAGGAAGAGGGAGGCCGCGCCAGAGGAAGAGGAACAGTAGTGTCGAGGGAGGCGGGAGGTGTAGGTGTAGGTGTACGGGATGGCAGGTAGGGGGAAGCCACCCCAACTGCGGTCGTTGACCCCACGCACACCCCCAGTCCAGCCCGAACCCACCCCTCAGGGCCGACGACACTGGTGCCGTCTCACGGAAAAGTATTGCACTCGCATCGCAACCCCCTTTCAGAACCGTCGTCCCTCCGCCGTTCGCCCTTCTCCCTTTCTTCTCCTTTCCGTCTCTTCCTCTTTCTTGACTCCTCCCTTTTCTTTCCGTCCACCGTCACCCCGCCAGGACCTTCTCTTCCGCCGTTTTTTTTCACCGACCCACCCCGAATCTTGGCCTACGCTTCTCGGACAGAGGGTGATCCACCGTCCTCTTTGCTCGCTTTAGTCCCGGAAATGAGCCTCGTCGATTCTTCGATCCCTCGCGCGGCGGACTCGACTCGATCTCCGAGTCTGGTCAGATTTCATTTCACGCGCAACTAGTTTTCATACAAAATGCATGCACGTAAAGTGCGTAAGGAAGGGTTAAGTAACCGAAGGGGGAAGTTAAGGAATCCGCAAACTCGTACGGACGTTCCCCTCGACGAGTAGCGAAGAGAAATCTTTGTTCGATCTCGAACGTGCGCGGGGCTATTTATCGCGGGGGCAGAAACGCTCGCTGTGGGGTTGTCGCGGAGCCTGCTAGTCTCCATTAACGCAACAGTTTATGTCAGCGGCTACAAACGCCGCAGCACCCGGGATTTTTTATGGGGAGATCGGGAAAAGTTGAATGAACGATATCAAAGGGTGCCGTTACGAAAATTCACGAGCGAAGCGCCGCAATAGGGAGAGGGAAAAAAAAAAAATGTTGCTCGTCGATGCGCGCACATTTGCGTCGCGTAATAAAGTGAAACGCAACGATTGAATGACCATGGGGGCCCGCGTATTGAAAAAAAGACGATACCTGCTATTTGAAAACTTAAAAAATGAAAGTTCGCATCGCCAGTAAAAAGTACCTGCTCGTTACCGTTTCCCCGTTTAACTCCTAGTTAAACATCGGCGAAATCGAGAAAAATACGTATTCACAGCGGACGTCCGCTCTTCACGTGTCGTAACGTTCTATTCACTTTTAACCGATGACCGAAAATTTCGCATCGCGTTACTTGACAAATGGTTTATTCCGCCCGTTCGCATTCGTGACGTTCCCTTTGCCTTCCTTCCTTCCTATCGTTGTTCGTCTAAACTTTTCGACGACATTCAGATCGGTCATTGTTGTTCGTGAAATTTTTGTCTCAAGACTCGGAACAGGAAAAATCGTTTAGACTCGTTCGAAACGCCGTGCGCGTTTCTCGGTTTTGAAAGACGCTGCCGAACGAGCCAGAGAAATTCACGCGACTCACGGAGGGACGACCCACCCTAAATTTGCGTGTCTAGAGCGGCGTGGGTCGCCTCCTTCTCCCTTGAAACTTTCAACCCTCCGAGGATAACCCGCACTGACCTACCCCTACTACGTGATTTATGTACGAGCAGCGTACGTACGTAGACGCAGGGGCGTCGAGACCCCTCTTTCCTTCTTAGCCCTTTCGAGAACCACTTGTCCCGCCGGAGAGAGGGTTGAAAAATTTCTCCCCCCACGATTATACGCCAGCGACGACACACATTTTTCGGCGACAAAACATCCATGAATTTCACCCTTTCCCAGACTGGTCTTTTTCCATTTAATATTTAATACCCACCCGAATTATAAGAAGTCCCAACTCGGTGTTTCACCAAATCGATAACACCGAAACACCTGCTGGACAAGGTTTCGTCGGAGACGTTTTAAGAACGTGAGGGTCATCACGAAACGGCTGACTACCTTTGAATAACTAAATAAGATAATCGAGCGGTAAAATTTCTATTAATTTCATTTTCCAAGCGCGACGCTCGGCCTGCACGTCCCTCTCTCCTCGAGAGTTTCGGTATAATTACCGACACTGTCGAGCAATCCCAGGTGATCTAAAATATCCTTCTCTTAACTTGCCCGCTAGGTCCACTTAATTCCGTGGAAGTTAATTAAGAACGCGGGTTTCCGCTTTAAAGTAGCCAATTTAAATTACTTTTACGAGTCCTTGGGCGCCGCGTCGCGGCGTTCGCCCCGAAATCTATCGAGCTGCCCCGGACCCCTCGAGACGGAAAGAGAGCATCTTGTACTCACCGGTAGACTTCAGCCAGGTAGGTTGCCGCCGAGAGAAGGACTCGCCGTACCTCTTCCTCCTTCCCCGTGACGATCGATCTACTCGAAATTTCAACTTGCAGCGCACGCGATACCCTGCCGTACAATTGTCCCAGGTAATCAATTCCCCCGGCGTGCACTCTCCTCAACGTCAACTAAATCGAATCCCCCTTCGGGTTCGTGCGCAACCCCTCTCCGAGGCAGACGTTCGCCCGGCTGCGAAACTGGAAAAAAAATACCCGCTGGTTAATGACTTTTAACGCGTCGCGTGTGACGAATCGTTACTTTCTATCAGCGAAATTAACGTTAAACATCGACCGTTAGCCGCTCCATCGACCCGGCTTAAAAGCGTCCTCTTCGCAAGCTCGCCGAGACGCGTCGAACCATTTATCCGAAAAATTCGTATTTCTCGGTACGACCTCTTGAGCGAAGTTAATTCTCACCTTCGACGCAGTGGTCTCGGAGTTTGCCGCGAGCGATCCTCGATCGAATTTCGCGCTCGAAAAGGGCCGACGGATGCGGAGACGATGGGGGATCGAGGCGGCATCGGCCGAGGCGGACAAAGCGTGCGGCTCGCGAGAGGATTATCAATGACGTACTAGAAAAGTTCCGAGGAAAAGTTTTATTGTCTAGAGCCATGGCCGATTTGTTATCCAACCGTGCGGATGCGTACGCGCGCTTTTGCTTCCGGGTTAGACCTCCGCGGGGGGTGTTGTTCAACGACCTGTATCGGTACACCTTTTTTTTCTCTCCGCGGCATCGACGCGCAGCGGGGACGCGCGTTCTTTTTCTTCGTCGGCAATCGAGAACTCATCCGGACGCGAGGCCGCCTCTTCGAGATCGCAGGTGGCACACGCCGGCTGCATATTTTTCCACCCCCGTCGACGTAATCGCCGCGCTCGTTTCACCGTGTCGAAAAAGGATGAAGAGCAGAACCGCTCTTGCCTATGCCCGAAATTACGCTCCCACCCGAGCCGAGTCGTGCCGCCCTCGGGAAAACGCGTGCTCTCCGTTTATCTACGACGCCGATCTCCGCGCGAAAACGCTCTCTCGTTCGAGGCCACGGAAGTTGTTCGATTTCGAATGCACCCTCCGCGGCGCGACGGCGCTCGTTTTCATCGACAGCGTGAATCAGAAGCGACCTGCGTGACGGTACAACCGGTGGTTAAAAATTGATTGCGATCTCGAAAACCGAAGTTTCCACCCAGCCTTTTCCCCGGAAAAACGGCGTTCACACCGGGGATGGAACAGTCGTTGTTCGTCTAAACTTTTCGACGACATTCAGATCGGTCATTGTTGTTCGTGAAATTTTTGTCTCAAGACTCGGAACAGGAAAAATCGTTTAGACTCGTTCGAAACGCCGTGCGCGTTTCTCGGTTTTGAAAGACGCTGCCGAACGAGCCAGAGAAATTCACGCGACTCACGGAGGGACGACCCACCCTAAATTTGCGTGTCTAGAGCGGCGTGGGTCGCCTCCTTCTCCCTTGAAACTTTCAACCCTCCGAGGATAACCCGCACTGACCTACCCCTACTACGTGATTTATGTACGAGCAGCGTACGTACGTAGACGCAGGGGCGTCGAGACCCCTCTTTCCTTCTTAGCCCTTTCGAGAACCACTTGTCCCGCCGGAGAGAGGGTTGAAAAATTTCTCCCCCCACGATTATACGCCAGCGACGACACACATTTTTCGGCGACAAAACATCCATGAATTTCACCCTTTCCCAGACTGGTCTTTTTCCATTTAATATTTAATACCCACCCGAATTATAAGAAGTCCCAACTCGGTGTTTCACCAAATCGATAACACCGAAACACCTGCTGGACAAGGTTTCGTCGGAGACGTTTTAAGAACGTGAGGGTCATCACGAAACGGCTGACTACCTTTGAATAACTAAATAAGATAATCGAGCGGTAAAATTTCTATTAATTTCATTTTCCAAGCGCGACGCTCGGCCTGCACGTCCCTCTCTCCTCGAGAGTTTCGGTATAATTACCGACACTGTCGAGCAATCCCAGGTGATCTAAAATATCCTTCTCTTAACTTGCCCGCTAGGTCCACTTAATTCCGTGGAAGTTAATTAAGAACGCGGGTTTCCGCTTTAAAGTAGCCAATTTAAATTACTTTTACGAGTCCTTGGGCGCCGCGTCGCGGCGTTCGCCCCGAAATCTATCGAGCTGCCCCGGACCCCTCGAGACGGAAAGAGAGCATCTTGTACTCACCGGTAGACTTCAGCCAGGTAGGTTGCCGCCGAGAGAAGGACTCGCCGTACCTCTTCCTCCTTCCCCGTGACGATCGATCTACTCGAAATTTCAACTTGCAGCGCACGCGATACCCTGCCGTACAATTGTCCCAGGTAATCAATTCCCCCGGCGTGCACTCTCCTCAACGTCAACTAAATCGAATCCCCCTTCGGGTTCGTGCGCAACCCCTCTCCGAGGCAGACGTTCGCCCGGCTGCGAAACTGGAAAAAAAATACCCGCTGGTTAATGACTTTTCTCAGATCTAAAGTAGACCTGCTAAGACGTTAATCTCGGGAACCGCTTGATCCTAAAATTATTACGCTGCGATCGATCGAGTACAAAGTGATTTGCTTCGAAGTTAATTTGGAGTGAGCCAAAAAGCTTGTGCGCAACTTTAAAATGTTCCGGCGTTAAACGGATACGCGTGGTCAACCTTTTCTCGGACTCCTCTCGTCGCTCCTTTATCCGCGCCACTAAATTACCAGCGGCGGTCAACGAAATTGCTTTCGTAGGTAAAAGAAAACCGTGGTCCGCCTCTTACGGTCGATACCGCGCCGAAAATGGGAAGGTCGCATGCGTCTACGCGCGGTCGTTCGTCGGCTTACGCCTTTTTTAATACCGAAACAGACGTCGCGAGTGTCCTTCGAGTATCGGCATGCCTCGGCGACGGGATTACAGTTTTCCGGAAGCCCCCGCAAGGCCTCGAATCGCGGTAGGGAGATCGGGCCTCCGTAGCGTTAGAAACGCCGGATGAGCTCTACGCGGAAGACAAGACCGAACGAGATTCCGGAGAGGAGCCGAAGGGGAGGCAGGACGTTGGATCGTTTAGTGGCGGATCCACGTATTATTGGCATTAACCGCGATTGCATCGTTAGAAGTAACGCGGCGGGTCGGGTCGGGCAGAGGCGTAAAACCGTTCGCCGCTTTAATTATCCCCGGTCGGTCTCCAGTTCGCGAGCCACGGACGCAATCCCCGCGCCGGAATTACTTGGGATTAGCGAATTTTTCCGGCGGCTCGTAAACCAAGATACATTTTTGAGCGGTGCGAGAACGTCGGCCCTCATTAAAAGTCCCTTAACAAAACTCATTAGCGAAAATTCGCCCCGGGGAATGGGTTACGACAACGACGCTCGTCGCATCGTAAGTTTGTTCGGAAAAGCTCGCCGTGATTACGCGGCTGTTTTTGTTTTTCGAATTGCCGTATGGCAAAAAACCCGACCGCCCTCGCCGCCGTCCGACCGATCCACGCCTAAACGACCGCCACTCGTAAATTATATAATACGCGATCGCGAGAGTTGCCGCGGCACAGCGCTGGCTCGGCTCGTTGCAACTTTGTTCCGTTCTCCCTTCGATGTCTCTCCAGCCGTGGCGTGCTCCACAAAGGGACTCCGAGTACTTGTTGCTCTCGAAATACACGGAATCGTAATTCCCTCTCTCGTCTCCGCATCCCGTAGCCGACCCACTCGTCCCGTCGAACGTGCCTCGCGCACCGATCCGATCTAACGATCTAAACTGACCGATCGTCCCGAAAAGTGCATTTCGTCGATAAGTTTTATATCGTCGATCGCTCCTCGATGCATGTCCGAACGTCGTTTCGAGCTTCCTACATAATTTTAATCTCGCCGTCGCGGTTTACTCCTTGACCGGAGTTAGTCGTCGAGCAAGAGATGAATCCTCTCTTTGGAAAATCTTCGTGAAAAATGTTTCGTCCCGGCCGATGCATCCTCCGCGAGGCGCGCGTGTATTACGCTCCAAAGACAGCCGGCAAAAAGTTGTCGAACAACCGAACCGAGTTCCCTCGGTCTCTCTCCGACCATGTTCGCCCGGTCTGTCTTCTTTTTCCTTCGCCCTCCGCGATACAGGCATTCCCGTGTCCGGGGCATTTGCTCGGCCGCGAACAACGCCGGCCACCTAGACGCATCTCCATCGCGAAATTGATCAACCCCCCTTCGGCGTTCCCCGGAGAACATCCCGGAAACTTTGCGTATCCCGTGCTCCGGAACCGGACTATCCCCGGCTACTGGCCTCTTCCTTTCCCCAACTCCGGAGGACAGCGCGCAACCGAAAGAAAGAGGAAAAAAGGAACGAGGGAAAAAAGAATACCGGTAAAGAGAAAGGGGATGGCGGGGAGTACGGTGGCGGCGATGGCAACGGGCAGCATAGCCGTGGCAGTCCTCGCGGAAAATTCATCCCTTAAGAAAATACAGGCAATAACCTCCGGATCCTCATCGGTAGTGGCGCGCGGAGGGAGAGGAAGGGACGGAAGAGCGCGGGGTCCGGGGGCAAAGGTGGATGCGTCGGTAGGACAAGGAGACGCGGGTGGCCCCGGGGGTGGGACGGTGGCGGCAAAGACGTTGCCGCGTAGGAGATCGGCGACGGGGGCTCGCCGGGGGAACGGGAACGCGGAAGGAGCACCGAGGGAAACCGAGGCGCGGAGGGCGGTGGAAAAGGCGAAGGTAGAGAACTCGGAAGGGGCGGTGGGTTAAAGGTAGCGGCGGGCCAGAGCCTCGCTTTATTTTTATGCAGTTATTGATCTCCGTAGAACCCGACACCCGCCGTGCCCACCCTTCTTTCTCCGCCAGCTCCTACACCACCTCCTCGGCCTCAACCTCCTGCCGTCGCCGCGCCTCTTGCCGCCTTCCGCCGAGCCACCCTCTCCTGCCGCCCTTCGCGAGAGAGCTAGCCTGCCGGCGGGTAACTAGCTTATCAAAAAATGGGCGTTGCCGCCTCTCACTGTCTCGTTCGTTCTCCTTCTCTCGCCGTCGTCTTCCAGCTTTCTCCTTTCGTCGCCCTCCTTTTCTCTCTCCGTTCGCTCCTCTTCGTTTTTCTTCATCGGCCTTTTTCTTCATATCCTCGTCTCTCTACTTTTCTCTTCCTTCCCATCGGACGTTTCCTCGGTTCTCGTTCCTTCGCCTGTTCTCTTTTCCGGTTTTCCCCGTTCACCCCGTACACTAACGCTCTTTCTCCGTGCCACCGGGACCCTTTCTTTTTCTTCGCGGCTCCGCTCCTTGTCCACCTCCGGATCGCGAGCGACTTCCATTGTGGTCTGCGCACACCTGCCACAGTTTGGCTTGCCTCGTCGACGACTCGTCGATGGGCCCGCGAGGCTATCCGAACTTTTGCTCCTTGTCTTCCTTCCACGGCCCATCGAAATAAAGGAACGCGTCTCTTCACGCATATTGACACCAAGACGTCTCACTTCGACGAGTCTCGCGCTATTTCTTGGCCCGTACAGACCAACCGTATCCATTCACGGACCATCGGCCTGCCGCTTTCTTTCTAGGGTGTGTCTCCACGCTGCTGGTTCGATTTAGGGTAGGTTCGGCACCGACCGAACCCTTTCGCCCTTTCTTCACCCTTTCTTCGCTCCGTCTGTCTGGTCTCCGCGGCTCTGCCTTCGGTCTCCTCTCTCTCCTCTTCGTCGCACCCGCGCACCCTTCTCTCTCTCTGTCGTTGCCCTCTCGTTATCCCGCGAAGACCGGCCACGTGCGCGCGTGTTCAGCCGTACACGTTCACGCTCGAACGTGCGTTACACGGGATACCGGCCGGCTGCGCGTTTATACGCGACGAACCCGATCGATGTCTATGCCCCATCCCCCAGAGCCGCGCTCCGACCCTCTTGGTCCTTAATTACGCGAGAGGGACGTTACTCTTTTTCTCTCGGTCTTTTCCGACTGTCCTGGACTCCCGCGAAATCGAACGAATTCGATCACCCACCCTCTTCTCCGGGATATCTTCTCGTTGGAACTCCTTCCTTTATCGCGTTACCATTAGCTACTTTTCGGAAGCGTCGATGGATCGAAGAAATCGAAGTGTCGTCAAGAGGATCGCGCGCTGTTCCCGGATCAGACGCGACGAAGGGAGAAGGGTCTAAAAGTTACGGAAAGCGAAACATCCGTCTCGTCCCTTCCGGTTGTAGACCCCGTGTTTTCCACCCCTCGGCTACTGCGAAGGGTCAATGTCCGATCGCGTGGTAAAAAGGGCGAAAAGCGTTTCCAGAAGAGAAAGAAACCGGGCGGGAAGGAGGCGAGGACGCGGCGGACCAGACGAAAACGTGGTGGCATCGCCTGGGCCGCGTAGCAACAGGCATCTGTTGCGATACGACATGCGATAGATACGCGACCTCCCAGCGCAAACATCTACCTACCCACCCTGGCACGCGTGCATCGCTACTCTCGTCCACCGTGTGTACAACCACCGCCCACCCCCTCCAGAAAGGGTGCTACTGAGTGATCCGCGTTTCCGGGCCACGTTACTTCCTCTTTGTTCTTAGAGGAAATTTAATAATAAAATTTCGCTTTTAACCCTTTCATCGCTGATGGAATACAACCGCCGTACGGTGTATCGAAAATTATCAGCGTTTCCGACTCTCACCTACGGTCGACGAAAAATGACAAGGAAACTACCGCTCAAGATGTCCGTGATGCAAACGGTCCTCGGAACATGAGATGAAAATGCCGCGGAGTCGTGAGGAATTCGAGCCGTTCCTCGACGGTCGAATAGGAACGACGACGCGGTGTACACGGCTCGTTTCCACGATACTCGCCGTTACTGTCAAAACACCATTCGTTACGTCGGTTCCGCGTCATAATCGAGATATACGAGTACGACGCGTGGACGCGACGATAAAGCAAAATATTTACGGACCGCCGTGGGAAGAGCTAATTAAATAGACCACGATTTACGGAGAGGCCGCCGCTACTAGTTTCGCGATCTCGCTTTTTTTCACGGAACGTAAAAATCGAGACGGCCGTGTGTCAAAGTGCGCAACACCGAGCCGTAACACCTTTCGTTTAATTAAATCGTACTGCGAGGCGCGTAAAAATAAATTACGCACTCTACGTTCTCGCCATTCTCCGGCCCTGTTCCATCCGCGCCCCGTTTACTAACTCTCAATCGTCCCCGCGGTTTCTGAAACGTCAAACATATCGATAGCTTCTGATCGGCGAACGAAACCGCGACTTCTAACTTTCGATTCGTCCGTTTCGATACGCGAGATTGTAGCTCTTGATGTCCCGATCGAACGACTCGCTGCGATTCATTCAGTTATCGGGCGTGGATACGCGTTTCCGCGCGCGGGATAATATTCCGCTGGTCGGGTAGGCGAAATCCCGGCGCGCTCTAGCCGCCGAATCGCTCGCCGGAAAATAGGCGTGGGCGCTACGAAAAAAACGTGGCAGCCCATGCGTGGAAAATTGTCCGAGTGGAATTGTCTCTCCGCGAACAAAGAGGGGAGATGTGGGCGCCTAGGCGTGCGACCGAGAGAGCACCGCGGACGGAGAGGAAAGCAGAGAACGGAAAAGGAAGAGAGAACCGCGGCGTGCGCGAGCGGGACAGAGACGGCGAAAGAAACAGGCAACGAACATGACAAACAGACTGACGTGTACTCGCTGAAAGCACGAAAGGATAAACGAATAAAACTAGTATATTAAGGACGATAAATCTGTTTTTCTTCTCTTTTTTCCCCCCGCATCGAGTAATTAAAAGTGCTCGTCCGGCGGGATTAAACGCAAACGAAGTCCTGCAACGCCGTTGATAGAAAAACCGGCTTTGTTTCGTTAAAATGGTAATTAATCCGTGCTTCGAGGACAAATGAGCCGAGCGAACGTCGAAGAATATCGTTCCACCGCGATTCGCGCGCGAAAAATTCGTACGCTTCTCCCTTAAAAAGATTCGTCTCGGACGATTTTTCTTCGACTCGTGCGACTCGATATTCACGGTACCGTCGAAAAATATCGCGGTAAACCGGGAAGGAAACGAGAGACCGAGCGCGATTCGCGAACCCTTTCGGGTTTATACTTTACGCTCCTGAAAATCTGCTCTATGCATTATGTAGAACGCCGTACACCTGTTGTGCCGGTATTCCTTCGAGGACGAGATCTAGTCGACGAGCTAAGTAAGCACAGCATTCCTGCCGCGCTTCTTGGGGTAACGAAAGCGCGGTGGAAACGCGGAATACCAAGTAGCTTGGATAGAACGAGACCGATTCGGCTGGAAAGTTACGGGGTTGCATCAAATTACGGCGATAATTACCTGTATTAAAATTCATTGCTTGTTAGACTACGTTTTCTGCAATTTATGTGAACTATCCCCTGCTCCTGCTTCTGCTGCTGTTCCTCCTCCCATTTCGCTTTTTGGATCCGTTTGTGTCTCCACGCAGTTCCGGCGAACATCATCCCATCGCTCCATCCTTGATCTATTCTGCAATGTGAAACAAACGCAATGTGAAAGAATCGAATTAGTTACATTTTATATCATCTTTTAACACAGTTATGTCGCCTTGAAAAACGCGAGAAACGGCTACCGCGAACGATAGGGAAATTCTTCGTACATACCGTGCAATCGCTGTCTAGTAAGACGCATCGAGCAGCCTGTTATCATAACCCAGTAACGCCAAATATTGATTTTGACACGTACACGTGACAAGCCGCTAGACGTTTATATACAAACTATGGCAAACCCGGGAGAGAAGGAGAGACATACATACCTGGACGTGAAGCGTATATTCGTGTCCGTACTCTGTACCCGTCCTTTGGCGCCTCTCTCGCGTCTGTTCGTACACGTACAACTACCCAAAATCATTCCCGACCCACTTTGGAATCGTTTTGACCAGCTTTACGTGTGGGTATGTACAACCACGTGGAGAGGCACATACACGGGACATCGAATACACAAGTCGCACACACGTGGCCGTGGCTCGAGAAATCATTCCGATGTCCATTCGATTCGTGCACGCTGTCGTATGCGCGTCAAATTCATGCACTCGCACACACACACACACACCCTTCGAAAATTCACGCTCCCCGTCACGTGTGGTATATCTACGCGTATTACGAGACAGCGTTTGAGACACGATATCGAGTATTACAAAACGGGGACGCATTTCGCGATCCGGACAGAAACGACGGTGTCTACGGTAATCGGAGACATTTCGCAGAAACCGAATTTCGATCACCGATTCGACAAACGTCATACGTACAGCATAAAAACTATGTTTGAACAAAAGGAAATTAGCGGCGCAAGTAACCATCTTTATTCAAAAATGACCGGTGGATGCCAGTATGAAATTGGGAGCCTCGAATAAATGATTATTATTGAAGTTTCGACACGATGTTTTCAGATTCGGTTAGTAAATACTTACGGCTGCATATGCGGCATGTAAAAGGAGGTCATGGTGCAACTAAATAGCAATAATAACGCAACTATAAGTTCCGTCCCACTACCGCGCACTGCCTTCTAACACAAAATTTACGGAAACCAAGATTATTCGCATCGGAGCGTCACCTGTCCGACTGCGCGGAGCGACAGCTACCAACTGCTCCTCGTCGATAAACTAACAATCTGACGCGCCTTCTATGAACGTCTCAATTTTTATAATCTATTAATAAAAATTAAAACGTTGGCCAATTAAATAACGTATGCTCTTAAAAAGTAAAAATTGTATACATAATATCACGCAACGTAACGTTATTCACAACTTGAAATCAATATTGATATAACCTCCACGCTCTTAAAAGCAATGGTTATCGTTCTACCGACTAGTCAATTTTTATAAATTTTACGTAGCCACAAAAGTATGGAAAAACATAAAGATCTTATTGTGTGCGTTCCAGGTAATTAACAGTTAGGTACAATAAAATAATGGTAGGATGGGAGAATAATAATTGAATATCTTTTCCGCAGGGCAAAGGTTATGTATTTCCGACAAAATGAATATAGCCGGTTCGGGAACTTACGAGCAACAGGGATATATTTATTCGAAACTAGCAGGTGTCGTGAAAATAGTACAAGAAGAGAATGTATGAAACATTTGACATCGTTAGAAATTATTTTTGCCATTTTAGAGATTAAATGTAGGTACAAACTGCATTATGTGTTGTAGACACGTACCATTGAGGTCCATGGAATAACGGAACAAAGTATCGTTCCTGCACCTGGCGATATCGTAACGGCTATGGTTACTATCGTTAACCAGAGATTTTGTAAATGTAGTATAAAATGTATAGGCGAGATCGTATTGACGAGACCTTACAGGGGAATCTTAAGGAAGGAGGATGTACGTGCGATAGACACTGACAATACTCAAATGTACAAATGCTTCAGACCGGGAGACATCATCCTGGCCAGAGTCGTATCCTTCCACGTTTCTTTTTGGTTTACGTATAAAAAATAACGATCTCCAATAATTTCCTATACGTGACTCAGATGCCGATGACAGAGGCGCATACTTATCAATTAAGTACATCGGAAAACGAATTGGGTGTGGTAATAGCGCACAGCGAAGAAGGTGAGAACGTAATTGAAAATAAAATTCGTGATTGTTATCAATAATCTCTGATATTGCAGGCGTGGCTATGATACCCATCAGTTGGACACAAATGCAGTGTCCCAAGACCTTGCGCAAAGAATTCCGAAAAGTAGCGAAAGTTATACCAGAGCAGGCTATCACAGAACAATAATACAACTTTGATCGTTCCTTATGTACGATTGAGAATAAAATAAACCATTTTGTACAAATAATTGTTATTTTACCCTCGGAATATGAAAATAAATTACAATAAAATAATACCATAATTTTCAAGTAGTGCCGTTTTAATATTTTTATTCGTTGGAAATGCCATCAACCACTGAATTCAATTCTCGTGTTTAACAAAATTCGTATAGTTCGATGATGAATTCGCATCGAGACGATAAGAGCACGGTCTTTATTTCACGCAGAATAATTTATACGAGTATATATAATTAGACGAAACGAATAACGATTTTGAGCAACATGCGGTTCGTTCGTAACGCGATCGGGTTAACAAAAATAAGAAAAACCTAAGATATCGACGTTGGAGCGTGGGCTAAAAACGCGGAGGATTAAATCTCGTCGATCGTTCTCGTGACACGTGGAAGTTATTTCTCTTCACCTTAAACTCGATTCAACGACGTAACGAATCCGAACGCAAATAGTATTTGCAACAAAAGAATGACCCACTTATATAAATCCATTTGGTTATCGTTTAAAAGATATCGCAATCTTTATTCGTAGCGTAAAGAAGAAATCATCGAATCTGTCGACGACGATGACGTTAGCTCTTGGATTTCACCCTCCAGAGAAGTCTCACGCTTTTGTCAACGCTCCGCACCGTGGTAGCGTATTTAGTCTTTCATCTTACGAAGTTGCACGCGGCATCGGGTAAAAAGGAGTGTATGGAAGATAGGATATAAATATATTGATAATCTCGCGCGGGTAGTTCCCGTCGTTAAGCGAGGAGTTCCTCGCGACGACGACGGGTATCTGTGGTACCGCTTCGTTTCCTCCTTGCACCTATACAAACACGCATATCTACCGTCTAACTTACGTTAGTCTCTTCCTGATCGTATAGAACTACCTATCAACTATCGTATAATATCGTTGATATCGTATATATTATGTACAAAGGAGAACTCTCACGTGCTTACACGAAGCTCGCGGTTTGTTCACGGTTTCTCCCGATCATCGAGGCTCCTCCGCGAGGAAACATGCACCAGAACAGCACGAGGAGAATCGCCGTGCAGTTGATGCACCAAACAATTGCAAAGGAATAGAAGTCGAGGATTGAATTTTTTTTGGATATTCTTACAAAGACTGGAGAAAAATGAAGAGACGGAACGAATCGAGCAAATTCGTCGTCGGTATATAGAGAGCTAATTATCGGATAAAACAATTGTATATTCCAATGCAGTTTGGTAACAACGAATGCCTCTCGGTATGCCCAACTTTGACATTGCACATGAGTCAACGCGAATAGGAGGTAAAATATTTATCCGTGAACGCTTGCACGAAAGAAAATTGGAATGATTTAATATTCGCGATTTAAAAAAAACAATGGTTCTGTATTATACGAAACGCGACGCGACGTACAAAAATGTTCGATAAAAAAGGAAAGGCGAATCCCTACGTAATTTATACGATGTAAAAATGAACGAAATATTAGACCGGCGAATAATCAACGTTATAAAACGCTATGCGATAATCATTTACAGACTCCGACGCTTATATCCGTCTGCTAGGATTCGATACAGTGGTGTCCGCTTAGCATTCGCAAACTATTTTTATCATGTTACAAGAGTAAGTGCCCGAGTACATTCGCGGACTTGAATTGCAGACGTTCGGTCCAAGAGATTGGTTCTCGTAAATGACCGCGAGAATATACGAAGACTAGGTGGATACCATTGCAAACGCTTACTGTACAAGAATATTTCCCTCTTCGTCTCTTTTGAGCAAAAGACGTGCACGAGTCTTTCCTCGTCGATCCACCAGGATCTCTTCAAATTCACCCGGCAGCTCGCGGAGTGTGGTCAATAAATTAACAAACGGAGTTGGAGGACATCGGACAAAATCACAGTTGAAAGCATTGAGAAATTCCTTTCGTAGTCGGAAGCACCGGGGTTTGTACGGCCAACTTTCGCGGCTAAATGCTGACGAAGAGCCGAACTAGCGATGCTTCCGTTTGCGCGATATCCTTTTTCTTTCATCTCCCTCGGTGATTGGTTTGTTATATGCTAACTTACGATATATTTAATGAAAAATTACGACGCTAATTTAGGACCGTCGCGACGGCTCGAGAATCGATTAGACGAGCAATTGGTGTGGCCATACCAATGAAAACTGTGCGACTTGTAGAAATCCGAATCGTGTGGAGATTAGTTCTCGAGCGCATCGTCGGTGGTTAAACGATACAAATACTAACGCGATTTGTACGAGTGACACGATGTTGCGATTGGATCGAAGATTCGCGATTCAACGTTCGGCCGACGAACGGTCGCAAGAACAGGTTCGGGGAAACCGATCATCGGTCGATCAGAGTCGAACGTCAGAGATATGATCGTGTACTAGGAGGTCGCACCGTTATATTCGATTAATTAATAATACGCTTCTCTTCGTTAAATTACTAGATTCGGTACCGCTTACAGAGACATACACGTCCGTTTACTTTAAATACGCAATGGTACATAAATATTACTAATAAATGGACTGCCAAGCGAACGGGCAATAGAGAAACTGATCGTTGATTAAAATGAACGTTCTGATCGAAAATGAAACTGTGCGTATCTACAAATTCGTTTAACTCGATCGCTCGCCAGTCCTTGATATACGATCGATCTGCCTCGGCGTATAATACAATCCTTGAAGAAACTAAGAAAAATTCTGAGTATCGAAAGCCAGATATCCGTCAATCGAGCAATGGTGTTTGCGAAACGAGCGTTCATGACTAACGTGGAGTAGATTATATTTGGTAGAGGCACTCGATAAATCGTAGCGAATGTGAGCGAATACTCGCAGATAGTTTTATCAATTATTCGAAATGCGCGTTTGACGTATACCCGGCTAAAGACGGATAAAACGGGCCACGTGATCGCCACGATTCGTCACTATTAAAAGAGGCTACTGCTTCCGGGTTCGCTATCAGCCTCGTATTCTCGTTTGCATACTTATCGCCATCCCTTTATCGATTTTCGACAGCGCAAACAAATCTCAAATATTACTCTATAAATAAATGTTTTGGGCGTGCTTGTGCGTCTGGATTGTATAAGGCTTCAACGTTTTGCGCGGTTCATCGACGTCTTTTTCTTGTCGGAAAGGCCGTAACGTTCGATCAAAGGGTGTATGGATGTGTACCAATCGAACTGAATCATTCGCGAAGAGAAAAAAAAAGAATCGCGTGTACATTTGTGCGTATTTCAGGACGGGTTTCGCCTTATTTCTTTTTATTTTTCTTTTAAATATTCGTACTAAGAAGGGAAGAATTATGTATATGTACACACAAACATCCGTCAAAAAGTAAAAGTGTCATATCAAAACGCAGACTTTCAACGCTCCCTAAATGCATCTGTACCGGTTGACTCCCATTTTGAGAAAAAAAAAAAACATTGTGAACTAATTATTCGGCAGACGATGACGATTACACTGCTCAAAATAATTAGGGGGTCTGAACTTAATCTGTAACTTATACACACGATAACAAAGACTGGAATTTCTCGTAATGCGGAACGCGGGTAGCGAACCTAATAGTAATCCGAGTACGAAATTCGCTGACTACTTTGAGCAATGCAATATTATTTCGAAACTAAATTGGAAGATTGTCGCTGGACGCAGAATACATCCATCGGAGAAAAACACCAGCTCGATCGATTAGACCGTAGTTCCTCGCACAGTTCAAAATAATCGGAAGAATCGGTAAATACCTAAAATTCTGTGATTACTTTGAGCAGCGCGAGTAATTAATTATTCAATAAAATATGAAAGAAAGTAGTCTCAGTTTCATGAGAACACTTCTCTCTCTTTCTTTCTCTCTCTTTCTCGAATCTTTGCCAGGTAATAATTTCCACGCGTGCCGTTTCTTTTCCCGTTAATAACTCTCTTTCGGTATCATTATCGCATATGCACGCAGCCGTCGGCTGTGCTAAGTACACACGTAGAAAACTACATGCGCGCGACCCTAATTATCGACGCGTAATTGCGCCGCTCGAGAAGCGTATCTTAGGCGAGAGTCGCGCACACGTGCCAACGTGCGTGAAATCGTACGGTTGCGTCCGTGTGCATCAACGGTGGGTGTACGTAGACATGGTTGCGCACCGATCGAATATAGCACTCTTCGAAAATGGTCAGAACAGAGGCCGAGAACTTCGTATTGGCGTAATACGCGCAACAGCTTTTTCATAATTCTCGCGCTTAATGCCGAGCACCGCACACGCAATAACGAATCGTATATTAGGCGTTACGCGATCTTTTTTGCGCGCAAAAGATTGTATGCTTAAGATTTACCTGTTATTCGTAATAAAAGCAACACCTCCTCTGTACATGTTTTTCTTTGCGCTACTCTTGCTGCGAAAGCGCTCCGGCACGCCGGCCTCGCGAGTATCGACGATGAGATATTCATCGCCCTCTGCTTCGCAAAACCTGAGAAAACACGCATCGGTGTGTTCGTCGAAAGCGGTCGCTTTCAGACGGATCCCGCGGGAATCGCGCAGGAAAAATTGGCGCCAAGGTCACAGAGCCGTTCCTCTCCCGTTTCATTGCCTATTTCAAAGCAGCTTCGGGCAGCACCTGAGCGCCCGTCGGCGTCGTCCGCAACGACGGCGTCGCACGGACGACGACGTCGCTTGGTTCGCATTACTCGCGTTCATCTTGGATCAGCTGGCTGGCATCTCCGAGTTCTGATTCTGCGACAGCTCCAGCAAATGACATTCCGATAAGGGTATTTGCCTTGTGCGGGCGCTCTGTTTCTTCTATTCAAAGGACAGATAAATCAAAGGATAAACATTGCAAACAATCCGTATCTACTATTCTACCGTGCAGCTAATCGCGCTGCTCAGGTACTCTTAAAGTCGTCCAATTATAATCGGAGAATCCGATCTAGATGTAATTAATTCGCGGAGAAATGAGACGTCCGTAAAAAAATAGCTCACCTGTCGTCGGAATGGGAAACAGCCTCTGTTGTCGTTGTTCTGCGGCGGATGGTTAACTAGCAAATCGGGAGTAGGCGTGTTGTTAGGACCCAGCACGTTCAATTCTTTAAAACACTCGGTCTCTATCATCTGGAACAAAGAGGGCCAGTTTCATCGGCGCAGAAAATAGAATCTCTTTGATCGGACGAAACATAAATTTTCATGATAACAGGAACTGCAGCCGATCACCGATGTAGAGAAACACTTTCGAAGCTAAAACGAGCTCGCCAGAACGGTAGCAGACCGTCTATGACGTACGGACAGCACTTTCGGCGCGCCATATTTTTTGACACGAGCGAGGCGCGGTGGAGCATCACGTTTCGAGCATCGCGTCGAGACGTTGGAATCTCGGACATAATCGTTTTTAAAAGCTTACCTCGTTCTGCCACGGGATAGACACGCTGCCGGTATTGAATTTGCTGTAGAAGGTGTCGTCCGTAGCGTCCAAATTGACACCTTTCACGGTAGAGAACTGCTCGATGTCCAACACATCCTTAGCATACACCGCGTGCGGCTGTAAATAGAATCGATCGGGGCGATAACGATTTCCGTCATAAGAGATGTAAAACGATCAGAAACCTAGAACGATGCCGCGAGCCCACCGTTGTATCGTAATCTTAATAGCGATCTTTTCGATGACTAATCGCGTTAGAATTAGTTACCCACGTTACTCTAATATGGTAATGCTTAAAGATATTACGGTCTTAATTAACCACGACGTAAAGCAAGGAATCGACCGAGTTAGACATGGGAATACTCGGTTAATTATCCTAGATGAATGGCGTTTTTTTTCGAGACAAAGTACACGAAGACAAAGTAGAAGATAGACGATAATAAATTAGAATCGGTTCGAACGACACCTACTCACATCCGGCATAAACGGCGGGTCCCACATACCGGCCTCGACCCTCTTCCAGTTCAAGCACTGAAAAAAGCTGTGCAACTTCACTTCCTTGGCACCGTGTCTGCCGCATTTACATCCCAGCCTGTTCTTCGGGCTCTTCTTCAACAATTGCTGGCACAAACTCTTCGCCTCCTCGGTGAATTTCGACGAATACCTTTCCTGATCCTCCTTTACTCTTCTGTCGACCTCTTCCCGTTTCACCTTTTCCTTCCTGGCGCGGAACGGAGCCTGGCCCTCGATCATTTCGTACAGGAGACACCCGAAGCTGAACCAATCCGGCGAGAACGTGTACTTCTCGTTGTCGATCACTTCCGGCGCCATGTAACCGACGGTTCCGACCCTCCCAGTCACCATGTCCCCTTCCGTGATCTCTACGGCCAGACCGAGGTCGGATATCCTCACGTGACCGTGGTCGTCTAATAAAATATTCTCCGGCTTACAGTCCCTGTAGACTATCCCCTGCAGGTGCAAATGTTCGAGGCCGCAGACAACTTCGGCGGCGTAAAACCTGGCGCGATTGATGTCGAAGCCAGGCTCCCCGCCCATGTTGTAGATGTGAAACTTCAGATCGCCTCCGTTCATAATGGTCAAGACTAGACACAACGCGTCCTTAGTTTCGTACGCGTACGCCAACGAGACGACGAACTTCGAGTTGATCTTTTGCAGGATGTTCTTTTCGATGAGGACCATGGCCTCGCCCTTGCGCTTCTTTATACGTTTCTTCTCCAGTTTCTTGCAAGCGTACATCTTCCCAGTCGCTCGCACCTGACAAGCGCACACCTCGCCGAAACCACCCTTGCCCAGTACTCTGTACATCCGAAAGGTCTTGTACGTAACCGGTTGAGCTTCTAGCCATTTCCATTGAAGATACCTGCGGTGGGAAGAAAGAACTCGGTATGAAAATACGACGGAATAAAGGAATGATAATTTCCCAGGACGACCGTCGAATCATTAAACCTACCTATAGAAGTAGAAGCTATGTTGGAAAGCCGAGAAAGGCTCGCCGGCGAGAAAGTTCTTTACAGTCTGCGCGATCTCGGTGAACAGCTCCTTGCCACCGGTGCCGAGCCTCTCCTCGCACTGGGCGATCAACGAATCGTTCAGGATGTCGACCACCTCCGAGCCTTCTCTCTTTAGGTACTGCTCGAACAGTTCCTTCGCCAGTTCGGTACGATTCTCGTCCATCTCGATCTCGTATTTTTCGATCGCGTCCAGGAAAAGGTTGTACCGGTGATAGGCTGGCTTCTTGTCCTGGCAGAATTGCCTGAACAACAGCCTACCGATCGGCTGTTGATCCACCACATAGCTGTACTTGATGTCTGTGCCAATCACACGAGCCAATCGATCAACGAACAGTGGTTATTCGAACACTGGCATACGTTCTTTTATTTCGAAACGAGATCTCGTCGATTTGAATGAAAATTAAATTTGCCGACACGCGACGGTGATGAACGAACGCGATACGTATTACATAGTTTGTACGAAGATGATCACATATTTTCAATTATTATTCATGGGACGTTACGACGACGGCGTCACAATTATTTTTCATGATTTTCGTCTTGTAACCACCTGTTACGAAACCATTGTACAGAGAACCGGTCGGAAGATAACGTTTAGGTGGTTTCTCAGGCATCGATCACTCGATTAAACGTCGCGTCAATTTCTTTAGGAGCGCTCGATCGGGCTCCCATCGCTTCTCAATTATGAAACGCCGCGCCTGGAAACCGTGGGATTAATCGAGTCGCGGCAGAAATATTCATGCCCGTGCGGCTCCGTCGAAGGACTCCCGACGATTCGTGGCCATTTCGACGCGATTTCTTGATTATCGTCAGCTATAAAATCTCACGGCCAGATAATCGTTCTCGCGAGACCGCATCTCGATTCGCAATTTCTTACTCGATTAATTTAGTACTTCTCCCGATCTAACTGATGCGAAACGAGTGAAGATGCATATAGCGCGACAAATTCTTCGTTAAATAACGTAGAAGTTCTCGCGTTACGTTCCCTAACGATAATCCGTCAAACTTCAATCGGAAATTCGGGTCACGGTATACGTTCCTCGTCGATCGATCAACCGTGGCTCATCGATCAGCCGCGACATCGAGCCCCGAGACCGTAGCCCGCGGCGAAAAGCACTTTACGTCCCTTGGAAGCAGACGCTTTCGTCGCCTTCGAAGCTTGTCACGACTCGATTAACCAGGAGACAACGGAACCCTACAGCTTCTTATCTCGCTTATAACATATTCGCTGTTATTTCGCGCGAGATTCAATAATCCGATGCGAGGCCGGGCAGAGGTCACGCGTTGATCAGCTGCGGGATTCATGGGGGAAAGCATAGAACGAAGCTGACGAGTAGATATCGCGTCCCAGTTTTGAAAAGGAGTCACTCGTACGCGTTGGCTCTTTTGTTCATCGCTGAGAGAAAAAGCTATGCTCAATTGGAATATCGACGGCTAAACTAGAAATGTTCTTATTTCTTCGAAAGACATCGAAGAACTGTAAAAACATTTTGATAGAGGGAGGAGGGACTGTAATTATCCTCGTTTTATTAGAACGTCGTTTTCGTAAGAGCGATGAGGTCGGAACTGGAACGACCGAGAACGATATTAGTGAACTCGAGACAGACGGTCGCATCATCGGTACAGTTTTGATTGGCGCGTGTGCTCGAGATCTATTATCTTCTCTTTTTCCTCGAGTTTATTCCACTTATAAGCGCCATCTTATTATCGTTATCGGTTCGCCGGATTAAAACAAGAGAATTAAGGATTCATCGATCGCCGGTTTGAACAGAGACAAGAGCAAAGTAAACTCACCTAGCTTATCTTTTAGGCCGATGCACTGAGAGATGTGTGGAAACTGGAGTATCTTCCGCCATTTTTTACTCTTTCCCTTATTGCTGTCACCACCGCCTGCGGGAAATAAATAATAATTATTTATGACTACCTGAAAAAGCATCTCGCGTTCATCGGGAATGTCTATTAATATCGATAACGTCAATTATTCGAAAACGTTATTTCTCGTTTCGCGTTGAATAAATTTCTAATAATTCGCGGTCGATTAATCGTTGACAACACGCTCGTTAGTTGGAGGAAAATAAATTGGCAAGGGAACAGGGATTTTCCTGGCTCGCAGCGTTTCAATTATACAATGATTCTCGTCTTGCAACAATTGACGCTAATTAAAACTGCTGTAGAGGCGGTGCATTTCTGCGATTCAACGTCGCAAAGCTTTGTGCGGGTAATTGGAAAATGGTAGTTGACGGTTCGGCTTTGTGTGTGTGTGTGTGTGTGTGTGATCGCGGATATTTATGCGAAACGAGAATGTATAAAGATCTTGGCGCGTTTTAAACATTCGGTCGTGTCCCAAATATGTAATGAAGGAGTGGCATGGCCTACAAAAATAAATTGTCGAAAAACGATTTCGTCTCGTTATAAAAATAATTGAAACGAGTAGAAAATTTTTTTCACGGAATAAATATCCGGCGCGGCGAACATCTCGCGAATAGAAATGTTTCGTGGATGATCGATACGCGAAAGAGCAAGGGCAGAGTTCGAGCAGTTTCCGGCCCGCAGGAAACCGCAGGTGAAGTGGCACGGTTCCGTTTTGCCAGCCAGTAATTAATAGTTTTCCCAAGTATCGACCGCGGTCGCGAAAGTTTAAAAGACCGGTGAGGGTCGTTCGATGAAATTATAGAATCGAACGAACGACCGACGAAGATTCTCATTTCGTTCTACGAAGATCCTTGAAAAATGAACAAGTCCGATATCGAAGGAGCATGGAAATATCAAGCTCGCGGCCGAAAATCAATAGCTACGCCGAGGCTGCTGGAAAATTAACCGAGTCACCCTTCTCGCGCAATTCGACGACGCTATCCTCCAATTGAGTTTCGAGTTGCGAAAGGATCCTCTTCTTCGTCGAGAGGGACGAGGCGAGGGAAGGCGAGGGAAATTCAGTCTGAACAGCATCGATCGTCGTCAGCGAAAAGGACCAGGAAGGAGCAGGGGGAGAATCGAAAAGTCCAGGCTTTTTGCCGCGAACAACCGATCGCGTTTCCACGGACGTGCACTCGAGGGCTCGCGGATGCGGAAAAGAGGGAACGAATCGAGTCGTGGAACCGAGAAACGTACACCACCGTCCACAACTTTTACAATCCTTCTAAGCTCTCGTCGTCTATAAAAATTGCTGACTATCGAAATCCATCTCGATCGAAAGATTATGGCACATCGTACAGCCGCAGCTCGCACCTTAGAATTCGTTCAGTTACAAGTTACTTGCGACGTATTCTACGACTTATGAACGGGTGTGTACTTTCAGATAAATCAGTCGATGTCTGCCTCGCATAGTGGATTTCTTTCCACCGTCCCTTTCGGGGTGCGGCTTTTTCTACGAATGTTTTTTCAATAATTGAACAGGGAAAACCCCGAGAATAGTTTCACTCGAGCTTATCTTTGCTCTCGTAATTCCATTTATACATGTGCTATTTCTAATATTTGCAATCAATTGCAATATGTACTCGCTTCATCTTTGTTTTGTTCGAGTCATTATCGCTGTATTATCATTGGTACAGAATTATTATTCTATTTGCCGTTTGCTGGCTTCGATAAAACAGCGATAACGCGGATTGCCTCTTCTCTAAAATATCCCAAACGATTACTACCAACGCACACTGTCGTTCCACTAATTGTATTCATCATGGAAAATCATCAGATTCGTTTAACGATTAATTAATCAGAAAATCATTAATACTAAAGAAGCAAATGCTTGTGAAGTGTGCAATCCACGTGAAGTCATGACGCACATAAGACTCGAGGCTCACGTGGAACGATCGCTCTCAAGAATTCTTCGGGACGACTAGCGGCCATATATCCGGAGACTGTGATTTTACAGCATTGAAAAGAAGCGGATATTTAATATGTTTTGTACAACTCGACTTGCGTCAAGAGAGGAACGTGACGTTTCAAAATAAGTATCGTCCCTCTTTTCGGAACTGCAAATGCAATCGAATCACGTTTATAACTAACGGTACCAAAAGATACACCGTCCATAACCGAGTATAGAAATAACTCGTTTAATTAGAATCGGGACGAAAAATGAACAGGATTATAGATAACTCCGTGGTGACGGTGTCCGGTGAACAATCTCGGGACGATTATTAAAAAACTTGAGGGAAACGAGGTTTCGTTTTATCTAGAGCTCACTGCCGCTGCCGGAGTCCTTTATAAATAATGCACCTAAAGAGATAATTAAACTATTAAATCCTGATGGCAACGGGAAGCTACTCTTATTAGCGACTTATTAATTGCACAGTACATCTTGATAGTCAGAGACGAAACGCGTTAGAAAAAGCCGCGAGGATTCGCAACGGAATTTCTCATGACCGCGACGTTTCCCCTCGAGCCAACGAATTACGCACACTGATTACACGTAAAAGAGATTACCAGGAAGGAATTTTATACGGAATAAAACGTAACCATAGCATCGTTAACCGAACCTCGTTCTCTAAAAAACTCATAAGAATTGTACGAATTTCGTGTTCCATAACATTTCTTTCCGCGAACAACCCCGAAAACGAAAGTCTCGAACGCGAATAGGTTTTCCTCGCGTAATTCGAACAAATGTTCGTTCCTCTGTTCGACGTAACCGAGTACACACCTACGTATTTATAAAGTTCATCGAAGCGATGCGATTACAAGCCCGTTCGCGCATCACGCGAGCCCATTTACCTACTTCTGTACCGGCCACGCAACAGGGTCTCTCTCTCTCTCTCTTTCTCTTTCTCGACACCTCGCCGTAGGATGTAAGAGAGTACCGGGTAGGTAGGTACTAACGCTAATTAAAATTCGCCACATATTTCGCCCTGACCCGTCACGCGACAAGCCCATTCCGCGCGTGCGAATCGATGGAATCCTCGCGATCCCGTCCTCGCCCCCTTCTTATCGTGTCTCGATCGGTACTTTCCCCTTTCGCGGAGATTCCTTCACGGTGGGAATGGTTTTACCGAATCCAGATACGATAAACTTCTAATGGAATTTCTCGCGGAGAAAATATGGTCCGAGATTTAGGGTCGTAACGTACTTGAAAAGACGGTAGCGAAGGAGCTAAGGACGATATAAATCGAATAATTTTCTGAGAGATCCTAAAGTCGACCTTGATACATCCGCTATACTTTCAGCGATCTAACCAGGAGAATAATAAAAAAAAAGCAATCGTCCGCGTTTGGCCAGTTCCACCCCCAAAGTAAATCATTCTTCACCCAAATGGTAACTAGCGATGGTCTCGCAGTCGTGCGTACAGAGAAGGAACTTCCGTAATCAGTCGGCGCTGCCGTGTTAGAAGTTAGGCTAATTAGTATTCCGCGCGGCGGTACCGCGGGACGCTTTAGGTAAAGGAAAGTTTAGCTTCCTTAACGACGACGCCGTAGCCCCGGAGGCACGAAATCCGCAATTACGCTCGCGAGCGCGCGTGTCAATCCTCCGTGCACTTTATTGCACGCGATACAAAGAGAGCGAGAACGTAATAATGTAAAGTATGCAGTTTAATTAGGGCCCTGCAACGGCGCGCGTTCTCATCAAGTCATTTGCATGTAAACCGTTCCTCGTTTCGAGCGGACCCGGACTCAGGGCTCTCGCTGCCTCTAGACGAAGACCCTCGAACGGTCGCGTAATTTCGAGTGCCGTGAATGAATACTCGTGAGAATATTTAATCCGCAAAACGAATTACTGTCCCTGGCGAGACGTTTCCGACGATAACGCGATGTCTGATAAAAAAGAACGCGTGAAATTCACGAATAGACAATCCTATCCGTCTGTGACGAAACAGGAAACGCTTCGCGGTTGTTTACTTCGCGTCGAAGCGAAATCTCATGCGAGTAATTACCATGCAACGTTCCGCGTTCGACGTTTATCTACAATTCGATCATGTTCTGTCTCGAGATCATTCCGAACGACAAACGTCTCCTTACAAATTTCAACCTTACGCTTGACACAAATTCCGCGCTACGCTCCGCGCGATTTTTTATCGTTCTCGCAGTTACGACACGGGTGTACGCTATCTCGTAACGCATCGCTGTCTCGATTGTAGCGAGAAGGAACGCGTGGTGCGCGATAAATACGCGGCTTTGCATCGCGACAATGTAACAAAACAATTACATAACAGATGGCATGAAACGGCGAGATACGAAGCGAGAGCCGGAAATTTAACGTCAGCACCGATGATACGGAACGCGGCTCCCGTATCGCAGAACCGTATCTTGAAGTACGTAGCTCTCGATGCTTAAGGATGTATTGGCTATACAGTCAATCCCGTAAGTTTATGTACTTTAGAAAAACGCGTTTCCTATAATGAAAAGGAAATCAGACGTCGGAAGAACAAAAAGTATAGAAGGAAATATTCAATTAATTATTCACGCTGGCGAAAAGTTTTTTATACAGAAGTTGTAGGCACTGACATCCTCTACAAAGAAAGATTCNGTAAATATATAATAACAAATTCAACATGCTAGCATTGTTTAAGTATATAGCCTACACATCCTTTAAGGATGCTTTCGCGAGCTTTCTTTTTTCACGCGAATGCAACGTGGATTATGGATTTTACGTGGATGCAAGGGGTTCTCAAGAACGAATCGGTAAGTTCATAGAAATTCAAGCGACGATGAACCATCTTCTGGTCAAACAAACATTTTAACTCCCACTTTTACGCGCAATAAAAAAGACGTTAACTGCGTATCCGAATGTTCGCGGCTATTAAACTCCTGATCGGCTCGTGTCGATGAAAGCTGAGCCAAACCGAAGATCGTCGCATTTCTGTTCTGTGGCACAAGCGGAAGGGAGAACGTGATAATAGCGAGTGGTACTTACCTTCTCTCGCTTTGAGGTACACGGTATTGGCCACGATGTTCTCCAACTCCATCAATTCCAGCTTGAGCGAGTTTACGCGACCGAGTCGACGGTGAGAAGCGACGGCCGATGTGGCGACGAGCAAGAAGGGGAAGAGTCCCGAGCGGAAGTGCGGACTGTTCGCGCGGTAGGTTTCCGGGGTTGATCACCCTGTCGGGCACCGGTAGACCGGCTCCCATCTGCGGCCCCAAGACACCACCAGGGACGATCGGTCCCCCTACGTCGAGGACCAAGGACGACGGCGGAAAAGACGGCTCCGGTGGAGTAGGCTCGAGTTCGAGGTTCGAGGTAGTCCGCGGGAACCACCGCGGGTATTGAGTCGGCTCAGGACGAGTTCGTTGGCCCCCTTCGTCGGTTTTTGACCGACGTGTTGTCCGACGAGGTGAGCGTACGTACACGTGTATTCAATTGAGCACGCGACGCGTTGGACGGGTTACGGGAAACAAGACTATTCGCTCGTCGCGTCGATTTCCTGCATCCGCGCCGCGGTATCCCAAGATCGTCGGCCCCGGCTTCCGGAGGAACACCTGTCGTACCAGCGAGCGCTTTCCGCGTCCGTTCCGCAATGTTTACAAGAGCGCGTGTCTGCACTGCGGGCTTCCCTCGTCCAGAAAGAGTTTCATAGGGTTACCAGTTAGTCAGTCGCAAAAGATCGGACATTCGGAATGCGCATTCTCGTTTTCCTTGCCTCTTTAAGATGTGACCGAATATAGGCGAGAGAAAAACCAATCGATGGGCGTAGTCGTTCCTTTAACGACAGAGTCGAATATTAGCCGAGAGAGTCGGCGTCGTCAACGTTCGCAGCTTCTAGCGACGCGCCATCGTAAAAATGTCACGCGCGTTCCGTGGATTCGCGTACACGACACTCGTGCGTGCACGTAGCGCAGAGCCTTTCACTTTAACGCGGGAGATGCCTGCGCATCCGCTAGATCCCTCTTCGCGGGATCGTGTCTCCGATCGTCGCCGATTCGCGGACTGAACATCTACAGCTGCGATCCCTCTCTCCTCGTTCTTCTCCCTGACTCGCTATCGGATCTCGCTCGTTGTACCTTGGAAATCCGTCGCGCGTCAGACGTCGATGGATGCAGGAGGAACTCGATCCACGGTCCGACCGACGACTCGAGAAAGTTTGCCAATGATCCCTCTCGACGATGACCTTTTTCTATGCCTCTCCGCGAACCGCTCGACGTATTCTTCTTCGCGCCGATCCCCGATATACGTCCTGGAACGAGATTCCAGATTGTTATTAGCGTGAAAGGATTCACGGCTAACATTGGCGTAGCGAATCACCGCGACTTCTCTCTTTTTTTAACAACAATGCTACGAAATTCCCATCGGCGGGTCACGGTCAACGATAGAACGACGATTGCTACGCGGCATTCGCTACGCCGTTGATTCTCCGGAATTGGAACGAGATATATCGTAACCGCGCTTATAAAATTGCGAAATTGCAATTTACATTCGGCTGTTTCGCAATTCCTGCGGCTGTCGCTGCTAACGTTAATCGTATCGCCGAACTGTGTTCGCCGAGCCCTTTGCGATGTTATATGAAACACGACACCTGTTTCTCTGTCACGGCTTAGCTTCGAATTCGAATTCTATGAGAACCCGCAGACCGTCGATGGAAGAATGCGTGATAAACATCTGGGATCGTTTACGCCGGTCGTCCGCGCGACTTGGTTTGAAAAATCGGCATGCGCCTCGTGCGAGAAAACTGCATCAGCGCACGTGCGTCAGCTAATTTGAAATTTTACTTTTCTCAAAATTTCGAAAAATGCTTCAAATAAAAATTATGGGAACTGCTATTATCTGTAAAAAAGGTCGTATACAATCTTTTTCTACCTCGAATACTTCAGGAGTAATCGATTAATTATTTCGTCCATCGTCAAACACTTCTTAACGAGTGGAGTTAAAAGAAAACTGCACATTTTTGCATCTGTTTGTAGCTACATAAGACATGAGTTACTATTTCGTCGCTTAACGCGACAAGAGAATCCGTTCCCAAACTTTGTTATCCAGAATAATTCGGCGCGATTCGATAACGAATGCAGCTGGCGAATAGAATTCGAGAGGAATTAGATTGAGAGCAGGCGGATACTCGTCAAAACGGATCTTACGGGTTGCCGCGTTACACCGAGTAAATCCTATTAAACTGCGACAGCTAACGAATGGGTAACCCGAGACGGGCTCTAAATTAAGTAACGGACGAAAAAAGGGGTGAGGTGCAGGAGTGGGCGGGAGTTGGCCGCGGAAGAACGACGAAGATCGTTAAAGGTTTTCAAACACGTTTTCTCGATTACGCGATTCCGATACCGCGGAAACCGGATTGGGAAGCGGCGAGCGGCAACGATAACGAGCGGGAAAAAAATAACTCTAACGATAATAATAATAATAACAATAAGGTCACCACGGAGGAAACGACCACGATAATGGCTGTTTTCCCGGTTTAGCTATCTTCTCCGGTCGATAAAAATCGTACGAGCTTCTGCGATATTTTTATTTTTTCGCAAGCTTCCCATCACGATTATGCGACTCAGTCATGGCAATGACCGTTGCTTTAATGCAAAATAAGACCCTGTGTCGATTTAAAAAACAAAATTTAAATTACAACTGTTTTACACTTTACATTTAGGGTCCGCGTACAATTTTTCTATAAAAATCCGCATAACACCGATCGCATTAATCACCGGAAAGACTGGACGACTCCGGTTTGTTCATTCGAACACGGGGACCGACGAGTATCCTCGAGTCTCCGCGAGGAAAGAGGGAAATCGCTATGCCACCGGTATTTCCAGTCGCCGTCGTTTCATAAATAATTATCCAAGTTTCCTTTACTCCTCGAGGTTCGCGTCTTCTCGAAACGATGCTTATCTCCTCGAAAAGGATATCCTGCGCACGTTCGAATACACGAACGTTCGTACAAATTAACAGGCGTTCGAAGAAATGAAATGCTCGCCGCGACGCGAGGCTGGAAAACGGACCGGAATACGAGAAACAGTGGCAACGACGTCGATATTTGTTTTCCATCGAGTGACTCACGATGGATTATGTGCGGAAATAGAAACTACCGATATAATCGATCAATCGCGGTGGCCCCCGGTTGCACGTACCTACGCGTTATGTACACGGGGAACATTGATATCCGTTAAAAGCATCCGCGACGCGTCAGTCAGTAATGCGTTTCGTACGTAACGAACAGTATGCCGGCGGCGTAACAGGCGGAGGGTGATAAACGAAGACAGCGGATGCCGAGAGGATACCAATAGCGAGTACAATAGCCGCTGTACAAGAGTCAGTAAAACGGCGAGTGGTTCTCCAAAATTGCAATTCGTTTACGTCGCCGATGCGAAATAATGATGATTCGGAAAAGAGAATACAATGGGATTAGAATTGAGAGACTCCGTACGGTCGCTGTGTTAGGCAAAACATTAAATAACAGGAAGTACGCGACACAGTTGCCGATAATACGGAAACGGGGTTCGTAAATCCAAGTTCCCATCGTGGATACTCCTTTTATGAGATACTTGGAGGGATCTTACAATGGGAAACGATCGTTTCGGTAATCACCGGAACGAAATGATCTTGCTGCATTCTGGGAAACAGCTTCGACCCATTCTCGAGAGACGACACGAACATTTGCCTTTATTCTCGGATCGAGTATCGCCTCGCGTTCTACTCGGGGGACATCACCGATTCAACGACGTCAACGAATATTACGCCGCGTCTATCAGTGATTCTCGGTATGTACTTTCGTCCTATTCCGCGCTCTTACGGGCGTGCACGCGCGCGCATGATTTAACGGAAAATTTCAATCACGAATTACCATTGTCAGGATGCAAATGGGTTTACCTATATTTGCCGGCTACTGGCGTCACAGAATTTGCAGAAGTAAACATCGAACGATGCGACCCCGTCGAGAGGCTCGTGTTTAAACGTCGAGGATTATCGTTGCCTGACGGCCGGGAAAGCATGCGTGCTGGCAATCTCAGGGTCGCGTATTTTCCGGGAACAAAGAACGTATTTCCGAGACAATCGCGACTCGCGCGAAAACGCGCCGTGTAGGGACGCGTCTATTGGTCATAAGTAGATATTTAAATCCCGTTTCCAGGCGAAAAGTTCGTCCCCGGTTGTGCTAACAACGGCGATAACGAGAGGAGTCGCGGAAAGCTCGCGAATGAAAGGGGACGATCGAATGAGAGAACGCCGCACCGATGGCTGCGCGGGCGAGTTCATTCATTCATTCAGGACGAAGAAACTTTTGCCCGCGAATATCGTGTCGCATCGTCGAACGGCAGACGTGCGTACATCGACGACGGCGCGGGGCACAGAATGCTTCTTGTACGAGTGCATCGAATCGAGAAATCAAACGTAGGGAGGAACGCAGAGGGGTCCCTTTGTCCGTCGCAGACTGGAAACACTTATCGTCGCCGCATTTTGTGCGAACAGATTTAATTCGACACCATTGGTATTACCGCTGCCGCGTCTTCCCTCGTTCCCTCCACCGTCCGCGATGAAAGCGTGTAGGCCTGGAGGGACGATGACTTCGCGGTACGCAAAGGTCGAGAAAGTAAAGGGAGCACCTGTTCGACCATGAACTTGGGAGTACGTTTTTGGGCTCGATGAGAAATGCTCGCGATGGGTGGTCGAGAGCCCGCCTAAATATTTTCGCGATCGGAACGTGACTCCGGTACGTGCAATTGCGAGAGGCCGGCTCTGGAAATCTGTCACGCGAGGCAGGAACACGCGAGCCGGAGAACCGTGTTCGAGGTGTCGGCGAAGTTGCGGACGAGAACATCGCGACCGCTCGAGCAGGGTTCGCTCCTTCTGTGCGCAGACGGGAAAAATGTAATGGAAGAATCCACGAGGGAAAAGACGAGAAACGAAACCGAGGGACGCCGTTACCGATGGAGCAGCGTCGTCGTGTTCCTCGCACGTCACGGGCACGAGTAAGCGTAAGCGGCGCGGGGGACATCGTCCCGTTGAAACGCGAGACGGGCGTAAACGATCTCGCGACGCTGTCACGCACGAGAACGAATTCGCCGGGTCGAGAGGGCACGAGAGAGGTGTACACACGGTTTCGGTACACCCGGTACGTGTAACGTAACGCACGCATACACGCGTGCAGAGACACACACCGATAGTGGAGCACCGCGCGGTCGTAACAGCGACACGAAGAAAGCGCAATGGCCGACCGCTGCACCTCCGCTGGTAGCTTCGATTTTCGTCGGCCACGAGGACGTTTCACTCGCTCGTTTCAGACAGGCCGGGCATCGACACACGCGCTTCGCACGTCTCGCTCTGGTCTCCGCGACCGCTTCGACCGGCGTGTACGATTTTTCCGTTTCACGAAAACGCAGCCAGGGACGGTTCGCACTGTCCGATCGTATGAACCCGCTGCCACTCGCACCAGACCGCCGCGCACCGTCCCGTCCGCTGGATAAAAACCGACTGACTGGCATGCTGCTCCGATTCGAGCGGCGGCGATGCACCGCCACGGATGAAGAGGTTAGGTGGAGGGGACGCGACGCGCTCGGGGACACCGAGAGGATGAAGCGCTACCGCCGTCGTCGGTGCGACGAAGACGAAGATAGACGCGCGGACTACTCCGATTGGGCGTGGTAGAGTCCCTAGGTTCGTCTTCGGATACCGACCGTGGGTGCGATCGTCGCCGTAGCCGTCGCCACTTTGCCCGACGCGACAGCGCGGCAAATTTCAACGAGATCTCGCTTCGAACGCGCGACTAATATATTCTAATTACATTTAATAATTACCTGTTTCGTAAGATAATTCGCGATACGTAATACGTTATCGAAAATAACGATGCGATGAAGGAATGCTGTGTATCGAGCAAAGCATGTATGTATGAAATCTAATAAAGATAATCGCGATGTAATTATCGAATAAACACGTTTTATCTGTGTTGCGATCCTCCCATTTCTACGAGGATTACATACTAGACGATAAAAATAGGAAATTGCAATTGCGGATGCACTTTGCGCAAGAAGCAGCGAGTCATCGCGCCCGTTCCACCTCTATCCTTTCGGAAAAGATCGTCGCATCTATCCGCGATCGAGGCGTTGCTCGAAAGAGAAATAACCGAATCGAACCGTAATATGCCGGCACGATGCATCGGACTTCCGTTGAAACGTTCAACGTCCGATGACGCAGCGTGTACGGAAAGTTGCCCGGAGTTTCGCGCGCTCCGAAGGACTCTCTCGATGCGCGCTAAAATTACTCCTCGAGTAGAACGGAAAAAAGGAAAGAAATGGGCAAACCAGACCGAGCGACGCGTGCAACATTGCATCTCGAGTATCAATCGTGTACGTCGTTAATGGTTGCGGTTGCGGTTACGAGGAATCGCGAGATACTATAATTCAACCGAGCCTCGTACTTATTCCCGCGATGGGATGCGTTTACGCGACGCAGCGCGATTTACGATGTCTATTGTCGCCGTCTAAAACAAAAACCCATCTACATTTCTCCACGATCGATCACACCGCGTCTTACCACAATTTTGCAATTTGTCTTTGACACGAGAAAATTTCATCCTGAGCAACCCGGAACGTTTTACCCGAAGAAAGGCCGTAAAAATATACTATAAAAAATTCCGATGACACGAAGCGTAAAATGTTATATTATCCCGTAGAGTCGAGTCGGGAGAACTCGATACGTGATCGTTTCTCAATCTACCTTGTGCAACCTGTTCACCGCTAATAACTAACGAAAAGGGAATCGTCTTCGAATCGAAAGATAATTAAGGAACGTCTCGGTGAAGTTACGTCACTGAGCAAACGTTTATCAAAGTACGAAAGTTTCGCAGTTGGGTAGCTTAATTTACCGGTCGAAAATTCGACTGGAACAAACGTGGAAACGCGTCCCTCGACCCGCCCCGAAAGGATGCTCGTTCCTATCGGAAGTATGTCAAGAATTTAACCGTGAGCCGTTTTCGCTAACAGCCGGCGATAATTGCTCGCGTTAGCCGCGGTTACGCCACGAAACGAACCGTGTCAAAAGCTGGCTGTTACTCGAATTAGATGATTTTTTGTCCACGTCCTCGTGGCTGTGCCGGCGGTGAGGTCACGATCGAGCGGAGAACGGTGAAAAACGTCGGTGGTACAAGCTCCCGCTGTTTCACGCTCCCATTCTCTCTCTCGCCTCGAACGGGAATAATGAATCCGTTTCGATGATTTATTACGACTCCCAAGCTTCGCGCATCCCTGCATTCCGGTAATTTAATTGCGACCGCTCTTAAACCGATTGATCTCGCCCGAGCTTTCCGATCCTTTCGGTACATCGAAGCCCGCGCTGCATTGTTTAGAGTGTTAAGTACATTTTACGAAAAATGGATTACATAAATCGAGTCCCATAACTTGGACTGCTGCGATTATTATATACGAGTTTGTATACTAGTGTATCTGTCGTCATATATTCATAATAAATAAACATTTATTAATTCTGTTAAGAAGACATTTAAAACATTTATTACATTTATTAATCCTGTTGAGCGAGTAATAATTTCGAAAAAATGCAGTCATTCGTTAAATCGGCCACGCAGACTTTTCGATCGATGCGTATAAACGATTGTGCAATGGGGAGGCATACATACGAAACCGATGTATCGAGTAACGAGAACCACGTTCCGCCGGCCGCAGAGGCTTTCTAAGCTGCGGATCTTTTTCTTTCCAGATCGAATTGCCCCTGGTTCGCGGCCGAGACCGACGTCACGCGAACCCGTCTTGGACGAATCGTATAAAAAATTTCCCCTCGTCGATCGTCCGATAACGAATCCTCAGAATTCGGACACTTGTCCACGACACGAAATTGTTCTTTCTTGTCGTATCGGCTCGAATTCGAGTCATCGATAAGAATTTAAAGTCCGCCACTGCTAATGGCTCGTGTTAAATAGAAACGTGAGGCAACGTCGAGAGAGAAAAGTTACCCACCTCGGAACTTTTTCCATTTTCTTAACTACAGTACGCAGTCGAAGTGTGCGGGATTTAATACGATCGTCAGATGGAATTTTAATATCGGGAAGTTCGATTCTATTTAACTCCGTCCGGATTCTTTTGAGAAGTTCGCGAAGTCGTAAAATACTTAAAATTTTCGAACACGATTAGTCCAGACTCGTTTGCAAACGTGTTTAAAAAGGAAGAAGTCCTCGCGGAGGACAGGACAGGCATTGAAAGACGGAAATCTGGTAATCCCATCGCAACTGTCTCGCATACTTGTCGGATGATCCAACAACGGGAACGGATTCACGAAGCGTGAAGAAATAGGAAGGGAGGCTAGAAAAAGCGATGCACCATGCGCTGGTTGCTCGAATGCGTGCGTAACGCACGAGATCGCGACTCTCGCCTTACAACTGGAGCAAATATATTACTTGGTGATCAACGACACGCATCAGTAGTTCGTGTGCTACGGTAAACTAAATACGCGTGCCGTGATTTCAGCACGGACGTTATCGTTTCGCGAGGAAATCGATGGGACAAAAGTCGCTGTCGAAGAACACGAGGATCTGCTGTTCGTCGTTGAAACGGTAACAGATTCCTCGTCCTTTATTCGCTTGCTGACACTACGAAGACGGATCAGATTCAGATATGATCGAAGTCGAAAAATGAAGGCAAAGATGAATCGGGTGGTTCTGATATTCGGTTTTTGGATCACGTTGTCGTTGGTGAGTATCTGTGAGACGAGTAACGACACGTGGAACAAAATTCGCGAGAAGAAAGCGCGGATAGTGAAGAAACTGAAGAAGGACTTCCGGAAGTTGAAGAAACAGGAAGGTGCGGTGAAGCTGGTGGGTGGCGAGAATGAATACGAAGGTAAAACATTCAAATCGACACCCGAAGTAAACTATCGTTCTTCCTCGAGATCGAATGAAATAAAAATCATACATAATATTGCCGGATAGACTGACGTAGATGTTTGACGCGAAAACGTGACTTGCGCGAAATATTGCAGTTTTATCAGCCGTTTCTGGTGTAAGATGTGTAATGATGATTAAAAAGGGGTCAACTCGAGAATGATTTATGTCAACGACCATGCGTCAACGTAGTAAACGTTACGTATAGGCATAGAACCGCGAGTCGCGAGATGGAACAGCATAACCAGAGTCGAATCGAGTCGTAAACCAGGATAGAATCCTCTTTTCAGACGTTCGCGCTCCGATGTTTATTACCCCCTATTAGGTGTTACATTCGGATCGTCCCGTTTCGTTCTACTCTTATTCCTTCTCGAAGGACGATTAATCTCCTTGTCGATCGGTGGATCTCCTCGCGAATAAAGCGAGACGAAAATCTGTAAATCGTAACGAGGAACCGTTTGATCCATCAATTTCCCATTAATTACCCTGCAAACATCCGCAGAGGACGGAAAGCTGATAATTCGATTGGTTACGCAGGAAACGTGGAAATACTTCACGACGGGAAATGGGGTAGCGTGTGCGACGACGAATGGGATTACTTGGAGGCCAATGTGGCTTGCAGGCAATTAGGCTTCGACGGTGCAATTAAACCGACGACGAACGGCCACTTCGGTCAGGCGAGAAGTGAGATAATATTGTCTAGCCAACTTCCTCTTCGCGGGCGGGAAGGCCGAAGCGAACCGGATCGTTACCACGAAAAAGGAATAGAGTACAATTACCTCGGGACGAGAAAAATAAGCGTTAATTAAGTACAAAACGTTTGCCTCTCCATCCGAGCGATCCTCTTCGCTTTCGCGGATAATCCTTTGCGGTAACGCGTTGCGAATTTTCAGTACACCCTCTCGACTCGTTTGCTTAACTAATCGGCAAGATTCAAGAATTAATCGCACCTATCGCGTTGCGAAACTTTTTATAGAAGCGCAAAGGAGTCGAAATAATCTGATAGTCGATAACGCGGTCTACCGTAAACGCGAGTGCAGTCGTATATCCAACCGGACAGGGCGTATTTTTCACCTGTTTCTTTTAAACCGGGTCAAATTGACCTTACCTTACGCGAAAAGATTTTTTCTATTTCTATGCGCTCGTAACACTTGATTGGTTTTGACGCATGACGACGTGAACAGAATTTCTGTCCAACGATCGATCCGTGGGCTAAAAATTGTTTTCATCGAACATTTCTCTACGAATTCTTCACCGAGAAAAAAAGGATCGTAGAGAAAAAAAATAGTTAGGACAGATTTAAAACGTGGGTGGGATGACGTTCCAGGAAAATACTGGATGGACAACGTGTATTGCGATGGAAGCGAGGAGGAACTGTTTAAATGCCGGTTCGACGGATGGGGCAGGTCCGACTGTGAAAGCAGCGAGGCGGCCGGTGTAATTTGCGCTCGCGACCAGCAGGACCGACGGGATAGGGGCGCGATAAGGGACGAGGTGAAAGCGAAGCCGGAGAAGCAGAGGATCAAGGATATCCATCGGCAGGGAGTGGCGATAAGGCTCGCCGGTGGTCGTGTTCACAGCGAGGGCAGGCTCGAAGTGAAACTGGGAAACTCAGGTATCGCGCGTTATCGATTTTCTTTAAATAAATTGGCCCGCACTTTTATAGGAACCGAGCTACTTCTTCGAATCTTTTGAACTCGACGATAAACTTTCCGAAGTCTGTTGCGGGTTTGAAATTACCAACTAATTACAAATCCAACCCTTTCTCGCTCCATCGAAAGAGAAAAAACGTTATTATTCGCGGATCGGACACCTCCCGTAGAAAATGATAGAGTGGAAAAGGGTGTCGGTGGTGATTTTATTTTAGATTGGGGCGTTGTCTGCGGCGACGGCTGGTCCCTGTTCGAAGCGGCCGTGGTTTGCCGGCAATTGGGCCTAGGTTACGCCTCCGACGCCGTCCAGACGAACTTTTTCGGCGGCGAGAAGATGCCCATGGCCATCAGCGGTGTGCAATGTCACGGGGACGAGAACAGTCTCGTCGACTGTCTGCACGACAAGGTCCTGGACTGTCCAGGTAGGCTCCCGTAGCGAATTTGCCGGTTCGCTTAATGAGAAATGCAGTCGGACGGAGAATGCGTAGGATTCCTCGTCTCGTTCGAGACGAAACAGGAATGCCGATTGCCCTATTAGCCGGAAAACGTTTTGAATACGTGTCCTCGGTGCTTTTCACTTTTCCCCGAAATTACTTTACAATTTGTTCCACGCGATTATAACGAATAAGTTTTCTGCATAAAATCTGCAGTCTAGCAACTAACATTTTGACGCAGGTTCCGTGGAAAACGTAGCTAGCTTGGTCTGTCTCCGAGATATGCCGGACCTCGTGTTCGATCATATAGAGCTTATGCGAACGGCTCACCTGGAGGACAGGCAACTGTTCTGGTTGCAGTGCGCAATGGAGGAGAACTGCGTCGCTTCTCAGGCTTATAGGATTCAAAAGGAATCGGAGAACTGGCACCTGGAGACCAGAAGATTGTTACGATTTACTGCGAGGATTCTAAACGCTGGGACCGCGGATTTCCGGCCGTCAGTGCCGAAACATCTCTGGGAATGGCACATGTGTCATATGTAAGCCGCGACTTATTTTGCTTTGTAAAATACGTAGGACGTCTGCTGCGGGAAGACGTAGCGAGTTTTTACGACGTCGATTTATAAAACCAAATCTAGATCGAGACTCCTTTTACCCTTCAGAAATCTAGCAATCATATCATAAATGAAACGTAATGTATTTAAAACAAAAAGAAGAGATAAAACGTTCCCGTAGCACCTGTTTCTAACAAATTCCATCGTTATATCTCCTAAAATCGATCGGAGCCACTCGAACGCCGGCGAAGCTCATTTTCACCCGAACATCCACTTGTCTTATCTGCGATCGAACCTTTCGAAATGCCGGCTGGCCCGGTCAAAGTGGCTCGTTGCCTCCGATCATTAATTCCGCATTACGCGTTTGTTAACGACAGGCATTACCACTCGATGGAGGTGTTCGCCACGTTCGACGTGTTAGACCTGAACGGTAGCAGGCTCGCCGAGGGGCACAAAGCGTCCTTTTGCCTCGAGGACAATCAATGCCTGCCCGGAATCGAGCCGAGGTATATCGAACGCAATTACCGGAATCGTTAAAGGGCGAAACATCATTTTTCGACGAGCGATGACGCGTGTGATTCAAGTCTATCGCGCGGCGTCTAATTGGCGGACCAATTAAGCTCGTGCATGATTTCAGGTACAAATGCGCCAATTACGGTGATCAAGGAATTTCCGTGAATTGCACCGACGTGTATAGACACAATATCGATTGCCAGTGGGTGGACATATCGGAACTCACACCTGGAGAATACGTCTTTAAGGTCCAAAGAGCATTTGCATTTTAATTCTATTCTTATTATCTATTTATATCTACCATAAAATGTCAATTACTTTCGAAAAGAAGAAGAAGAACAGAATAAGGGTTGAGAACTCGATTGCATAACGAGTACGCCCACCAGTTACGATTCGTACGTACAAGCCCGTTCATAAGTCTCAGGACGTATTACGAAGCGTGTAATCGAACGGGACATTTCAAGAGAACGATACGATTTATCCGCGATTAAACCTGTACGATTTACCATGATAATCTCCGATGTGATTTAGAATGTTCGTCTAACATTTCGATGGGTAGTTGGAAACGTCTTGAAATTTCTCAGCGGAGATGTACGTGCAACTTATCCACGAATCGAACAGGCCCTGACGGATCTGGTCCATAAAGGCCATTCGCGAAGCCGGGCAATCGCGATACCATATAGGAGGAAGCGTGATCGGGCCGATATTTACGTTTTCAGGTCGCGGTGAATCCTGAGTTCAAAGTGGGCGAGATGTCGTTCGACAATAACGCGGCAATTTGTCGCCTCCGCTACACGGAATCGTTCGCCGCGGTGCACGGTTGCGTCATGGGCCGGCCTTGACACGGCCACTTATGATAATCGCGGAAAAGTAACGAAGCGCTATCACGCGACGCGACTTATCGCGCACGCTAATTAAGATTCTCGTAAACAATAAAGAGAATCTCTCAGCTCTCGTAATCGTCGTTATTAATTATGTACCTACATACAATCCCATCGCGTGATTTACCTCTGTTACGAGAAAAAATGAGCACTGGAAATCGTGTATCTGTAAGTACGTCTCATAGAGAGGAGTGCAGCTGAGAACTTGATCATTTATGTCGAAAGTAAGCTTTCGGGTTACTGGCCCATTCGCAAATAAGATGAAATAAAAGAGTAGCATGAATCGGCGCGTAGGTCGCGCAACCAGTCGGACAGATCGAAGCGAGCATCGAGGACTACCTCCTCGAGGCTGATGCTCGCCGCGCACGGAATCTTAAGTTTTGGAGTCTAGGACCGAATTTATAGACCCGACTCATAACTGGAGGATTCTAGTTTCGAAACTGCGACTATTCCACCGTCCTAACGCGCGTCCGATGTATCAGCTGACTAGACAGACCTCTGCAGTCGATAGCTGGTCTTGAAAAGTTAGATCTGGTCAAGGATACCGCTCCGTTCTTTTCCGACAAAATTTATTACCCAGAATACAGAACGGGAAAAATGTCTTCCCCCCGGTTATCAGAACATCGCAAAATCGACGGAGAGAAATTCATTCTTAAACGAAAGTAGGTCACCGGTTCTTTTTAGGCACGAGGAACCTTGTGCCCTGTCACCTTCGATTACCATTGCTCATAATCTGATAATTAGCAACCGGCTGTATCTCCGTCGGACCTACTTTTTCTCGCGTGGAACAGGGACCTTGATTTTCGATTAAGCGGCTTGCCTCTTCGTTCACGCAACGTAGTTTTGACATCAAACCTTTTATGCAAAGTAACACGACGAGCCAGACTCCGCCTCTTTCCCCTGAAGTCTCTCTGTTACAACCTGATTATGTGCGATCGTCGATAGAGGATGGTTTACTTGGCGAATCCATATTTTTTCTCTTAAAAGGGAGCCGCGCTTCCGAAAAGAGGAAACCGGTGACTCAACGAGGCATCGATCCCTTAGGACATCGACACGGGTCCCCCGGAACTGGGTTAACCCTTTCGTTCAGCCAAGGAATCGACCGCTGTCGCTTTCGATCATCGGCGTGGACGAAGGCTAGCCATCTCCCTCTTTCCTCCTCCGTATTGTCAAGAAACAAGAGACCCCGGCTGTCAATTAGACCGTATGTGCGCCGCTTAAATGGCTGCAGACCTCAACGTGACTGAACGTATAATACGTTTAGATGGGGGAGGGGCCCAAGGTATGGCTTCCGTGGTGGTCACTGTCGTGTGCAGTGCGCGGCAGCTGTTGTTCCCCAAAGCGCACCAGTCATCAAACTTCCATAGCCACCCGAAAACAGGCTGCCCTCAGTCGGCCCTAAGAACTTACACCGGCTACTTTCCGTGCAGCCGGTCTCTTCGCAAACGGTTATCATTTTCTCAAGTTCTCGTCGCAAGTGACGCTCGTGTTATCGTCGACGCTGTCTTAGGTGTTTACGAAATAAATAATTGAATCCATATCCGAGGTAGGATCTTCATATCCAAATTATTTCAACTTCAAAGCGAGAAGGAGTAATTGGATTATTTAGCGCGAAAGACCCGGAAGGTAAGAAGACTTCGAGGTTTTTGAACTCATCGAGTTTACACTTTAAGTAACAAGGAAATTGATATTGATATTGCAAATTTTAGAAATAAGTTCATGTCTAAAAACATACAGAATAGAAGATAAAAAGACAGGCTGTTAACCACCCCCAGGATTGTTCCGACAGATAAGAACTCTGATCGATAATGTTTTATCAACTCGACAAGTATAGTCAACTGGATAGAAATTGCTCGCAGCTTATCTCGTTAAATGAAAGGAAGAAACGTTGAACGTCTAGCGAAGGAATAATAAAAGAGAGATCGACCTAAACCATTTGGACCGGTTTGTTTGAAATGCTGGCGACGATAATCGTAAAGAGACGCGTACTATCTCCAGAGTGGCGCTTATCACGCGATTTCGTAGATCCGAACACGGATCAGCTTCGTAAGCGATAAGTAAGACGCGCGCTGCGTGACCCATCGCCGTTCTCAGCGAGGATTCACCTGCCGCACGATCATCGGACACGAAATCACGAACGAAACGTCCCGTTAAATGTAAGGAGGGACCGATTCCACGTCGGCTTTTTTTCTCCAACGAACATGGCCTTTGTCGTCGATTAAAAAGGACTCGACTTCGCCCCTTTTAACGAGCTATCGATTAAACAGCTTGCGATGACGGAGACTCGTTCCCTTCGGCGATTCTATTTGCCCGATGACAGTTGCCATAGAACGGTTTTTAAGGGACCAGCGATCGAATGATTTAGTCCGATCGACCTATTCGAAAACATGTCGTGGAAGATCTTGGCCGTCGTTGGGGGTCTCTTTTGGGTGGTTGCAGGGTTGGATGATATATGTGCAAAGAACAGAAGTTTGCTCGAGATTCCTGGTAACGCTGTTTTGTCCGGTAAGAGACTTATGCGCAAACTTTCCACGATATTATCGCGTCGAGCAATCACGTTGGATGTTTTTCGGTTTGCTCAGTGTTCTTGGATATTAATCATGGCCCTTATTGCAATACAACGAGCAGTAACGGGATGCAGGAAGCGTTCACCGCGTCCTACGTGGTGCACGCTTTAAACAAGTACGAGTTCGTTCCTGGATTACCACTGGGTGAGTTTTTAATTAATATTCTGATCTTCCGAAGGATTCGTGAAATCGAGGATCGGTTTTCAGGTATAAAAGTGTACGACACGTGCCACGACGAAATGACGGTCTACAAGCAAGCGCTGCAAACGACCGTAGACGCTGATTGTACGAACTACTACGAAATGGGGATACTATTGCCGTCGGAATACGCAGCGGTGTTGGAACCGCTCCGCAATTATAGCGTGCTGCCGATCAGCACGTACAGCGAGCAGAATCTGACCAAGCCTCTGATCAATCTAATGGTGCACTACCTCGGCACCAGATTCGAAACGATCGACGTGCTCCTGGCCAGTCACGATTACCCGTTGAACTTGTTTTTGGACAGTACGAAGGAAGCCGGGATTTGCGTTAAAAATTATGGAGGCAGTTTAGAGCTCGAAGAGGGAGAGATCGAAACTTCGATCGTCGTGATAGGATCGAGAAGCGACATTCGCCAGTGGATCGAGAGAGGCGAGAAGGTACAAGGATCCAAGAAGACGTGGATTATTTTGCCGCTGGATGGATCGAACGTCGATGGTGAGAAACCCTGCGTTTTAATTGTTCTCCTATTCAGATTGAACGAAATTTGGACTTCCCTTTAGATCTGGCCCCACCAGGTTCGTACGTGGTGCGAACTTCGCCGTTCGATCTGGATTTGCTCCAAGAATCCTCGCCGGACGTGTTTCTCGAAGCGGCGAGCGGTCCCGTGATCCATTCGCCGCACTTGCTCGGAATCGGCAAGGCGATCGTCGAGCTGGCTCAATCATTGCAGGACCTCCAGAGACGAAATTGTCCCTTGGGCATAGACTCGTGCGCGATGCCACGCTTCAACCCGAACGCGAAACAGGAGATGCGAAACGCGGACGTGTACAACGCGCTTCGCATACTACCGAAATCGCACTCAATCAAGTACATCGTCGGGATGAGGAGCCAACAAGAGGTGGTCGACATGGCCTCGTACAGAATCGAACCGTCCAATTCCAAGTTCCGGATCACGCCCGAGTCGAAGGTGCCGAAAATGCCGAAACTGTGCGTAAAGAAGTACGTGAAAAATTGCGATGGCTGTGCGAACTTCAAGAAGAGATTCGGACATCGCGGTGTTACCAAAGGTTTTTTTAACACACAATCTTTATCCTATTTTGTTCTACTCGATGAACTGTGTCTAAATTTCATTCAGTCAATAATCTCGTGTTGCGCATAAATCCGCGATCTAATTATTTCTGAATAAAATAACGACGACGCTGCGTTGCCGCAGATACACTCGACAGGGGTTTATTAAAGTCGGGCAACTGGATACCAATTTTCCTGACGATGGTCGTTTGCGGGACGCTCGCCTGCGGCGTGATCGCCGTCTTCATTATCTACCGTTTCATCGTCGAGGACGTTCTCGATGGGAATCCAACGTTGACGATCGTACTGATACTGGCCGACACGTTCACCCTGCAATCGGTCCTCCCGTTTTGCATCAACGACGATTACCTCGGCGCAGAGCACCTCAACTCCAGAAAGATACTCGTCACTACTCTCGCCTTCGGATTGGACTTCTCCGTGATGCTGTCCAGGGCGTTTTTCTTGGTGTTCTCCAAGGGTGGCGTTTTCACGGCACACATCAACGGATATCTTCAAGGGTTGATGGTGTTCTTCGCGTTCTCCGTGCAGATAGCGATATCCGTCATGTTCTTCATACTCAGCGACGCGGACTCGGCCGTGGTCATGAGAAGTATGATCTTCATCGCGCTTTTAGGTATAGTACATCTTTTTTCGATTGCAATATTTCTCGATCATGTATAACTTGGGATAAAACCGATTTCAGGGTACGACATATTTTTGCTAGTCGCCCTCTTCGTCGTGTGCTTCTTCATCTTCCAGTTGCCACGGAATTATCGCGAGGGGAAGTGTTTCTTCGGCACGTCGATCGGACTGTTGATCGCCTGGGCCGTATGGCTCACCTGCTTCATCCTCGTCGAACCGGAATGCCGGGACACTGTCGTGTCCTTCGCGATCGTCTCCACGGCGTATCTGATCGTCATCGGTGTACTGATACCGAGGACTTACTACATGGTGACGCATCTGGCCAGGGGCAAAGAGTTCGGGCAAAGATTCGGATCGACGGATCTCGCGAACGATCCAAGAATCAATACGATTACCAGACAGGTCAGAACCGTTCACCTCGAACTGCATCTCGTAGTTGCACGAAATTTTTATTTTACACATGGTATCTCCTTCATCATCCTAGTATTTCTTTCTCGTCGTTTCTTCTTATTGTTTCGTAGACATACATATCTTCAGTTTGTACGTCGATCCGTTTCCAATAAAAGTTGCTCGTTTGCTTGCCACTCGCACCTGTTTTTATTTTAACGTCCCACCTCCGAATTGCCGCGCTCTCGAACGAGACACGGAATCTACGAAGAATGTTTTATTTACGCAGAGTCGTCCGTTTTACGATTACGTGCACTCCAGGGCCGGAAGTATGACGAATTTACAGGTGGCGACCGCGTACCCGAATTACTACGGTGCCGGATCGAGTCCTGGTCAGAAGCATTTAAGTTCAAGCAGAGCCGTCGACACTCGGCGGATACCCGGATACAGCAATTACGGATATCATTCGGAGATGCGAGAAGTGAATAATTCTTACTCCATACCGCAAGTCTGTATCGAGGATGCGGACGTGAGATTTTTTCTATTTTTCACTAGACTCTCCGCTTTTTATTTAGACTAGTCGAACAATCGTGGCAGAATATTTTTTACAGAATTTAATAACGAAAGTACATTTAAAGGAAAATTGTGCAATTCGTGAAACATTAATTAGGGTACGCTTTGGTAAGATGGTGGCAGAGCAATTTCGTTAAGAATTAAGGAAATTACATTTGCAGTCAAGGATGAACCTCGGAGAGAAGAGCGACGCGAGTACTACGTACGCGAAGCCAAACTGTCAACGGAAGCGGAAACCCAAAGATGGCAAAGAGTGCATCCAGACCGACGTGTACGTCGAGGGTAACCCGACCAGATCGCACGACGAAATGTATCCTGTGCGATCCATCAACCCTAGGATAATCCACACCGAGGCGACGATTCGCGAGGAGGACGAAGACGAAAACAGAATCACGCGATTTTAATACAAGCGACCGTTCTTCAAACGAAATAAACTGTTTGAGAACGATTATTATTGAAGTTTGATTGAAATCGATCCGATGTACCGATATTGTCTTGTTGGAAAATTAGTGTCGCTAGGGACCAAAAACGAATAAATAAAATGCCTTACGAAAAAGATCTCGTGAATATATTCGCAAACGTTACTCGCTTCGACGAAATACTTTCCGAACTCGATGTCTCTTTTTATTCTTAAAAGGACAACTGGATCGATAAGAATATTCGATCATCGTTCGGTTGTTTGATCGCGTTACACGGTGAAACGGAAGCCCGTTGTCTTCGTAATTAAAGTATAAAACGAGGCGAGGCTGTGCAGAGGTTGCCTTTGCGCGTACTACAAAGGGGGTGGCGCGTGCGAGAGAAGCAATTTCGCGTGTTCCCTGCCGAAATTGCGTTATGGTCGAACGTAATTCCGCAATCGAGGCACAGCTGGATGTGCCGCAGGAATATCGATGACAGTGCCGTAATCGGAAACCGGCGTCGTTCCAACGTAATCCAGGACGAAACGACGGACTACGTGAAATTTTAAAAAATTATCAATATTCGATCATTTTCGTAAAAATGTCTGTAAATCATATTTATCACGTGCGATAACGAGAGAATTAATTCGGAATAGACTGGTTTTCGTTCACGATTCTTACCGGAAACGATCGTAAAAACAGGTCAAATAAATTTCTTTGCCGATGATCAACGGGAAGGACTCGATCGTTCCTCGGCGCGCGTTTTAGTTCCACGCCATGTGGCCACCGCGGTGAAAAATAATGAAAGCCCGGGTGTCTGGCGGTCCGCGATAAGCGCGCGTAACGACCGTAAATCGAAAAATGCATCGGCTCGTGAAAGTCGCTCGACGGGGCCCGTAGCCGACGCACCGTCGTCGCAAATTCTGAAAGAGGACTTCGGGCTTCTGCGCAAGGACGCGTCCAGGATGCGGCTATAAAAGCCCGATCGGGACTAGCTCGCTTTCCAGTCACGTATAGAGCCCAGTTTCCGCGATCGAAAGGACAAATTTTTAGCAGGAATTTCGCGCCAAACGAAACAGAACCGATGAGAGCGACGCGGGAAAATCGATCGACGCCAAGAGACTATGTCCTTCGAATTTCCCAACGACCGTAATCGAGTGATACAGGGCTTTAGTTCGCTCAGAATTCGGGTCGACGTGCATCGAAATGATGTTCGAAGCTGGGAAGGATTCCAGAGCGATCATCGTCGCGGTTGTTTATCTGAGTCTCTTCTTGGACAACGTGTTGCTCACGGTTGTCGGTAAAAGCAGTTTTCATTCGTTTGTTCATCATAATTAATAAAATTAAGGCAACGCTCTCAGGGATTATTATATACGTAGATTTACCGTAGAAGATCTATTTTCAAAAACGATTGTTCGTGCGATTTGAAACATTTCAGTGCCGATAATTCCCGATTACCTCTGCACCCTGGAGGGAAACACGACGACGAGCGGTGAGGACGACGAGAACGGTCGAGTGGGATTGCTGTTGAGTTCGAAAGCATTGGTGCAGTTAATACTGAATCCGGCAGTAGGCATATTCACCGGGACTTTCGGTTACACGAAACCGTTGTTTCTTGGAAACTTGAGCCTCTTATTAGCAGCGATGCGTAAGTTTTATTCAGTCTTTTCTATAAATCCTTCGCTTTCCAACACGACGATTATCGTAGTGTTCGCATTCGGACAAACGTACGAAGTGTTGTTCCTCGCGCGAAGCGTCCAAGGGATCTCATCTGCGTGCATCGGAGTTTCCGGGATGTCGCTGGTAGCCTCTCAGTATCCAGAAGAAGACAAAAGATCGAAGATCATGGGTTTCGTCCTTGGAAGCATCGCGTTGGGCGTTCTCGTTGGATACCCCATAGGATCCGTCCTCTACGATCTCGAAGGGAAGATGGCACCCTTTCTACTGGTCTCCTGTTTCATCGTCATAACTATATGTACAAATTTTCGTTTCTTCGACGAAAAAGAATTCTTCCTTTCCTCTCGACGTTTTCAAGTCGTAACGTTCTTCTAGGTTTGCAGACCTTTACGTTGGACATCGAAACGAGGACACAGGTACGCGTTGCTCGCTCGACGAACGGCTCCGTTATTAATTGGTGCGCGTAATTCATGTCGCGTCGCATAAACGAGAGGTGGTAAACGTTGTTTCTAGACCAGCGGACGAGAGACGTCTTGGACGCATCTCTTATCAGATCCGCATATACTGATAATCTTCGGGGCAATATGGTGCTCGACGTCACCGATGGCTATCTTGGAACCCTGCTTACCAATCTGGTTGAGAACTCATATAAAACCCAAGGTTCTGAACCTTTGTTCGTATAAAAATTGGACTTCGTCTTTCGAACGCGATTAAAAAAATGTATTCGCCTTCCAGAAATGGCAACTGGGAACGGTGTTCATTCCAGACAGCGTGGGATACTTGGTCGGGACCAATTTTTTCGGTATGATAGCGTATCGCTACGGGCGCAGTAAAACTGCTGTTCTAGCCATGTTCTTGGTCGGCACGAGCACCATTCTGATACCATCCGCTCGGACAATGTCGCAGCTGATAGTTCCGCATTTGGGAATGGGTCTGGGCATCGGAGTGGCGGACGCAGCTCTGGTCCCATTGTTGGCCAGCTCGGTAGACCAAAACGGCGATTATGGCCCGGTCTATTCGATCCAACAAGTGGCCGTTAGCTTGGCCTATTCCCTTGGTAAACTAATCGATTTTTCTCAATCGAAACTCGAGCTTTGTTGTTCGATTCTGAATAAAACGATTGAACGTTCAAGGACCAATCGTGGGTGGAGAAATGGTGAAGGCGATCGGTTTTCAATGGGTGATGCGAATCGTTGGGTTGATCAACATCGTCTACTGTCCGCTGTTAATATATCTCAGCTTGGAGAGAAAAAAATTACTGACTCAGCAGGATAAAGAGAAGACGGATTACGAGACCTTCCAAAAATCTGTGGCGAGATACGAGCGATTCGGAGACTCCGACGAAGACCTCTGACCTCTGGATCAATTTTACCAACGTCATCTGTCCAAATTGAATCTCTATTTTGTATAATACTATCAAAACAGAACACGATATATCTGTTCGTTATCTTTACTTATCTTAAGGGATGAATAAAACAAAACCTTGACCATTTATCCTCGGTAAATAAACATATAATATAAAAGATATTTGTGTCGCTTTATTTGTTCTATAATACACGTGTATGGGAGACTTACGAACGAGGGTGCACTCCGTGCGAGATTGAAAAAGATTTATCGATTTCCAGCCGGACTGCGCCGAATTATTTTTATCCTGTTTTCGCGACATTCCGATTTCTACCACTTTATTACCCTCGGCGAAGTCTTTATTACCTGTTACGTTTTTATGTCGCTCCCACGTGAAAAGCCGGCTCGACATTGAATTTACTCTTGTCCCGGCACGACATGAAAGCGAGCAAACTGTGAACGTCCCTGAACAAAGCCCGGTATTAAACCGTGGGGTACCAACGAGCGGCGGGGCTCCGTTTTTCTCGTACGAGAAATTTTACCCTAATTGCCTCGCGCGGGTACGACGCCAACGCTGTTATCGTATATTCTCTCCGCGGCGAAACAAATAAGAGAAACAAACATGCGATAATACATCTTCGACGTTGATTTTTCCTAAAACCGCTGTGGTTATACCAGGGCATCGTTACCGGGACGAGATTAAACTCGCGTAAATTAGCAAACGACTCGCGTGCAAACTTAAGGATGTATTGGCTATACAGTCAATCCCGAAAGTTTATGCACTTTAGAAACGCATTTTTTAAAAAGAAATCAGACGTCGGAAGAACATTGCTAATAATAAACAACAAAAAAAAATTTTCGATTTTTCCGAGATTTTTCCAAGGGGTACCCCTTCAGATTTCGCGAAATTTTCGTTTTTTGCCAATAACTCCCAAACCGTTAGACTTACGGGAAAATTGCATCAGACCTTTCTTGTAGAGGACGACGAGATCTACAATTTCCATGTAAAAACTTTTCGCTAGCGTCAATAGTTTACGAGTTATTTGCGAAAAACTGTTTTTTCGTTTTTCGTCAATAACTCGTTAAATATTAATGCTAGCGAAAAGTTTTTATACAGAAATTGTAGATCTCATCGTCCTCTACAAAAAAGGTTTCCTGCAATTTTCTCGTAAGTCTAACAGTTTAGGAGTTATTGAGGAAAAACGAAATTTTTTTCCAAAAGTTCGCCGTTTCGACGCTGGGATGGTCGGATTTCGTCAACATCAATAACATGCCGAATAATCATACGTAACTCGTTAAACATCGAAATTAGAAGGAAAACAACTTCTATTTGAAGCATTTTGTCGCAATTTTGAAAAAAGAAAATTTTCGTCAGCGTCAATACTTAACTGGATATTTCTTTCTATACTTTTTAGCACGTAGCTATTTATTATTAGCATTATTCTTCCGACATCTGATTTCTTTTTAATTATAGGAAATGCGTTTTTCTAAGCTACATAAACTTTTGGGATTGTCTGTATAGCCAATACATCCTTAACCCAGCCAATTAAACCTCAGCCGCGAAGTCAAACGTAGCGATCAGAGAACGAGCAACCGGTAACCATAAGAATATTAAATCCCTCCCGATGCGGTGCTCAAATGACGTTAACGTCGCCATAATCTGACGATAACACGCGTTTGTTAAATTATATTCCATAAATAGAAAATCGATGTTTGCGCGGATCTAATCCAGCTCGAAATAGAGCCGGCCGGTCATGGGGAGAGTCGTTTGTTTTGAACTCGATTCGCAGCAGGGTGGACAGTTCAAGTGATCGTGCATCAAAGTAGAAAATAGATACGGCTCAATGATGAAAATTTAGCGAACGTAGAAATTTCGACGATCTTTCCCGATGACTCACCGATTAGAATAGCTTATGTTTGAATCAGTTGAGATAAAAAAGAAACGATAGAAATTGTAAACCAGGATTTCATCTGCTTCGAACTAGCGCTCGATGTCCGAGCGTCGGAGAGTGAATTCGTGGTAACGTCGTGTGTCGAGCGATCGAGATTTACGAGGGCCAGCTTAATCCATCCGGGCGTGATGGCGGTATCGATTTTTAATTCACGAGCACGTTGAGCGTAGGTAAACCGACGGTAAGACAAACGATCTTTGGAAGCGAACAGGAAAAAGGAAAAACAGACGTTCTCGGGAATCGATACTTCACCTGTGCGCGTCCTCGGAATATACATAATTTGTAGCTCGCCCTATGGGACTCGATGCACTAAACGGCACCCACCGTGCCAGCGAATAATTTATTGGAAAACGATATCTACGTCTCCATTTCAATCTCACCCTCTCTAAGACATTGCGTGCCGCGTTACAACCTATCCTACATAAAAATGTACTGCTCAGCTACTTGTATCCTTGTTGTATATGAAAGGGGTTCCTGAAACCCATGAAATAAATAAAAAAAAATATAAAAATAACAAGACTCGACTGATTGTGTGGGACTCGAATAATTTAAAAGTTGACTGTATCTCGAATACGATTTCATTCATTTCTCGTCGACTGTTACTATTTAGACGAGTGCTAGAAAACGGAAATTCAATGCTGTTGTGAAAACTGATTACTTCTCGGATGGATACTAAAAAGAGGAAGAAAAAGTTACACGCATTTGCATTCTTCGCTACTTTCCAAACTCAGATCGATCAAGTACCTGCAGACCTTCGAGTCTACGAAACGTGTTTCGCATGCAAATTGCATCGCGTAGAAATTATAATGAAATTATCAATTTCCTACGATTTTTTTAATCAATATTGGTAGTCGATAGAAATGATCTCTCGGTGATTCGAAATGTTCGTCAGGTTTTTTGATAGAACGGAGGTGCGATCAGCGCGATCCTTTGAACCGAATTTAACGCGTTTCTTTTCCGATCAAAGTGGTCAAACGGCGTTCGTACCCTAACTCACCCCGAAGGGAGAAGTCGCAAGAAATCAGCGAGAACACGATAAATATCAGACTGGAGGCTCGGGGCGGTACGTCTGGGAAGAGTCGGTCGGCTAGGAACAGCACCGAATCGATGGAGCACGCCGGCTATCGGCGCTCGTCGCGAAATTTTCGGTGGAAAATCGCGCGAGCAGACACGGGCACAGGGGATGCTGCGTCCGGGACCCGTATTCCGCTATCGATCTTCCAAGACGGGTTACACGGACGCGACATGCGCGTATCCGTGTGCCACAAGCGCACGCACCGACCAACCCCCGCGGAAACTTCGCGCCTAACTCGAAAGATCACGTTTTCCACGCTGAGCGCGTGTGCGTGTGCCTCCGCGCTGCCCTTCGTAAATTGCCACTCGGCGTCGTCGAACAGGTGTCGATCCTGTCGTAGGTAGATTCTTCTTGAAATAATCATCCAACTAATCGTGGGTAGCAGTTATCGAGAATCAATCTAGTCTAACAGAATTAAATCTAGTTAAATTACTTTCTGCTATCTATTCAACGTTCCAACACTTAAATCGAAACGTTTCAAAACGTAGCTATTTGTCTTTTGGTTAAAACTCTTTACGACGTAATTTGTAACCTTGAACCAGAGGAATACGATAACGATCACGGTGTTCCAATACTTCGGAACGGGGGCATAGGGAAACTATGATCGTGTGGAAGCTTGTACACACATACACGGATAGGGGAACGCGAGGGATGCGCTTATGGGGCGATTTGTGTTTGGGCCGGTTTCACCTGACCGTGTTTGAGTTCAGAGATTAGAAGTCGGGGATGGAGATGGATGAGCCGGTCGACGCGGATATTGGTCTTCTCGTCGGTAGTAATACCGTGGTGATTGGATCTGGCGAATGTGGATTTTCGGGGTTTCGTGATTTGATTTATGTCCATCGTTCTCCGTAAGAATCCCTCGGCTCCGCTTCGAGTTTATCAACGTGTCGTACAAATCGAATCGGAGATGCACGAAGAGATGGAACTCGCTTTTGGAGCGGGTGTGATTTTGGAAACGAAAAATTTATTCCACGCGTTCGTTCTCGTGCCTCCGTCTGACCAGACCCGGCACGTTCTACTTAACCAACGCGGTTTCAGTGATGCGAGTCAACGAGAGAGCCGACTGGTATCGTGGCTATGCTTCCATCTGTCATCCTCCCTCACCCAACCCAGAAACGTCACCGTATCGTCCACGCATCCGTCTCACCCATGTACGAACCATCTCGTATGAAATGTAATCGCGCGATCCGAGACCTACATATTAAGACACCGCCACCGGTCAATGTTGGTCCCGACGGCCTGGTGGTACGCGAGAGTACGTTCGGTAGCTACCGAAAAGACGACCGCGAACAGATCTGTACGCGCACCTGCGCGCGTGTGACGGTGCAACGTTCCGCGTGTGCGTCGAACGAACACGGACACGCGTATCGCCGCGGACACACGAGGCTCCCCGAAGGAACATCGAAGCTCGCGCACCAGCTTCCGCGTTCCAACGGCGCACAAGCGCACACGAACACGGAGAGATACGATACACGCCCACACGCTCAGCAGGCGACACAGACGCAACCGAAAGCTCCGCGTTTTGCGAACACCCGTCGTCGGCTGGCTGGCCTGGCTTCAGTAAGCTGGGAGCTTTCGACCGATCCAGCAGTCGCCGATTCCTCGTCCACCCCATTGCGCGCGTACTCCGTTCGCCAGTCGATCGTACCGTTGACATGTGCGTGAGGAGGAAGCGACCGTGAATTGAAAGGAACTATACTAGTCGAGCGACCACGACTCGGGACATCGATTGGAATCTTTCTAAAGCGTAACAGAGATCGCTGACAGGAGATGTGATGCAGCGACTGGCGATTGTTCTTGCTATTGTCCGGGGAAGTGAATCGGCTTAACAGTTAGATTCGTTTTACGGGGAAGCAGTTGCGGTCGCGTTCGTCGTGTAAGAGACGATGCGATATACGAATACTGTTGAACAAATGTATTACATCGTCGATTGCGGAGCGGACAGTTAATCTTCCGGCCAAGTATGTTTCAAGAACGTGTGACGAAATAATGGTTAAAAAGGAAAATATAAGGAACATCTTGGGAAGTGTCTCATAAGAACGTCGAAGCAATCCTTGACGCTCACGTAATCGAGGCTGGTGACATCGTTCCGGGAGCACCGGCGGCACAGCCAGGATCATGAGGAGCAGGACGAACAGCGTGCACGGTGCAGCGAGTACCGCCTCGAGATCGATTAGAAGACCGCGGAATCAGCTCGATTATTATAACGTAGAGCAGCGATTAATAACGAGAGACATTGTCCCGCGTTACTGTCGGTTTTGATTTCCAAACTTCCGAGCCGAAAATAACAACCATCGGTGGTCGTCTGATCGAGAACGGTGCGTTCCACTGCGGTTTTTACGGGCTCATTTTACGACTGTTCTCAAAGCTCCGTTGGCGTGTTAAGAAAACGAGGAGTGCGAATCGAAGTTGATCTTCGTTGGATCGAGACCGGTACTATTTTCAGGGCTCTCGCGTGAACAACGAAGAGAGAGGAAAACGAGGGAAAACGTGCCTCGAATAACGGAGGGTTCGATTCCTGACACGAATAAACCGAAACCCAGCCGGGAATATCCAACGTGCCGATTATCCCAAGTCTAATGAGAAAAATATTTGAACGTTCTTCGGCAAGTTATTATTAAGGACCACGGAGGACGGACGGGGCTGCACAAACGATTAATTCTCGGCCGAGTGCAGATCCAGGGATGCAGCAAAAGCGGCGAGCGCACACTTGAGAGACACGGTCGAAGAGGACGAACTCTCAAAGAGGCATCGGCGCAGCGTGGCCTCGCGCGATATAGGTAATACATTGTGTAATACGCGCGCGGGAATGATCGATCCTACGATCGCAGGATCGCAATACGATTTCTGAAGGATCGAGCGTAGTGGCTGTCTGTCTCGTAGAAAAACCGACGTTTAAATTCTATGCCAGGGGAACGATCGTCCAGAGAAACGAAGACCCGTTTCCTGCCAAGAGGGAAATGTTTTTCCAGAAGTTCGAGAAAAACATCGTCGGCCACGCGAGGGTGAGTTCGGTTTGGAACTTATAATAAACGGGGCGACCGGGGGGGTGTAAGAACAGAGATGAGAAGAAAAAAAGAAAAAGCTGTGGGTTGCAGCGTTATTTTCACGGTACATCGAGGGCTAATTGGAAAAGGGTAGCGTCGCGGGCAAAAGTAGACGTAGATTTAACGGATGAACGCGTCGTCCGGCGGTGCAGCCGGCTATTTTCGACGGGGACGACGAACGGCCCGTTGAATATCAGATCGCGTACTTTCATAATTCAGTGATTAGACGTGGATTTCCCGTGGGAGTCGTTCCCTTCGATCCTAGCGAGCGGGGACGCGGCGCGCGGCTCGGGAATTACGCAAGATACGTTCGCGACGAAAGATCGCGTGGTATCTTTTTTAGAACAGTTCCGCGCGAAAGAAACGAGCGACAGGATCGATGAGCAAGTTACCTCAGCATTAAATATCATTGGCAAAAAGTTTTTATTACTTCCCCGTCACTTTATCGCGCGTTACGTATCGCATTCGACTTTTTGCCAGGATTAGTGAGAGATCGAAGTTAGGTGGATGTGATTTCGCGTTACCGAAAAACCGCGTGAAAAAGGTGGAGTGTAAAGACTTGAACAAAAGGGGAATCTCTTCGGGAGACGTGTCTGCGCCATAAAAGGTTAATCGCGACTATTTATAACTCTTTTCACTCGGTTCTTTCCCAGGAATTTAATACGTTTCATGAATATAGAACAGGGGCGAGGAAAGTGCGACGGTGAATTCTGTTATCAGAGGCGGCCCGCGAAAGGAATAACTGGTTTTCAGGTACCGCGCGGCTGGGACTCCCGACGACTCGGCGCGTCCCGTAAAGTTTAACAAAGCGCGGGGTTACAATGCGAAGTGTCCTCTCACCTCGTTTTCCCAAAGGGTCCCGCGCGTTCAAGCCAACAGACGATGCAGGCTACCGTCGCGACACTCAATGGTAATTAATTCAGACGTAAGATGATATGGAGTCCGAAGACGAAGTGGACGAAGAGTTGCCGGAGGCGAAACATACAGAGGTACGCTAATCCTAGAAAAACGGAAACAAATGGAAATAAATGAAAATGCCGAAAGGATCGGGAATAAAATTAGTACGAAAGGAAGTTAAATACACGATTAATTATTTTCAAACATCGAGAAACCGTGATCGGATTAGTTGGAAAAATGATTAAAACGCAGATGGAAAAATGGTAAAGCGGAAATAAAAAGTTCGTCGTGCGACGAACGAGTCGGTGATTAGCAAATAGACTTTGAAAGAGAAATAGAGGATCGCGTGTTGAAAGTTCGAAAAATCCTATAGGTGAATCGGAACGATGATATAGAAAAGTTCGAGACGATGAAAATTTCGACGAAACCTACGTCCTCGAAGTCGCCGGAGCGAAGCGAGTGCCAGTTGGTGCGTTCGCCGAATCCGAGAGGATCGGAACCCGCTTCGAGCGTCGATCCTGATAAGCCGCGGAGAGAATCAAAATTATCTTTAAGTACCAGCATCAAGACTGACGCGAAGGACAACGATATCGTCAGGATCTGTAGGAACAAGAAGATCACCTGCCAGGACACTATTCACGAATACGACGAGGACGATGGACTCACTATGGAGAGGGTCGGCAGGTAAACCGAGTTACATTCTCATTCTACGTAGATCATCATTATCGGTTTTCGCTTAAAACAATTTACATGATAAAGTAATCGAAACTCGAATTCCAAATTGAATCACCAGCGCTACTCCCGAAGGACGCAACTCTCTCGCAAATAAATTGCCTAGCATTCGAAGGTAGAAACGCGGAGTGTTCTAAGTTTCCCACGCACTTAATTTCTAATATCATTATAGCTCGTTTCGCGAAAGTTTCGAACGAGCTACTTGTTACAAAACGAGATACAGTTTGTACGCGAAACTTTAGACGGGATCTTTATACTTTGTACCGATCGCGAACGATTTTTCGACAAGGTATCTCGAAGCGTATCCGGATGCGGCGGAGGCCTGGTTCCGCGAGAACGCCAGCCTCGAGCTTCGGCAACGGCTTCAAGGATACGTCGTACCTCGGGCCAGGTCCCCGGCGAAGAGTATACAACAGGAAGAGAATCTTCTGAGTCGGAGCAAACGTAACAGCGTCACGTCCGATCTGTTTCAAACTTGGCTGGCCTCTAGCTCGCCGGCGAAGCGAAGCAAAAGCCCAAGCAGGTGATTCGACTGTTTCATTTCGCTCTCGGGAATAATTTCCAAGCGAAACTACTCGAGAATCGTTACACTCAGGACGTTCTCGTTGATGGGACGACGGGAAGAGCTGAACAGGCTGGACGAGAGCGATCTTTTCATGGAGCTGATCAGGGACGTGGCCAACGAGCTGGACATCAACGTTCTCTGTCACAAGATACTGGTGAACGTTGGCTTGCTAACGCACGCGGACCGCGGAAGCCTTTTCCTGGCCAAGGGACCTTTGGAGGACAGGTATCTGGTTGCCAAACTGTTCGACGTGACGCAAGACACGGAATTGAACGAAGCCATACAGAGAGCGAAGAACGAAGAGATCAAGATACCATTCGGAGTCGGGATCGCCGGCTACGTGGCTCAGACTAAGGAGATCATTAACATCAAAGACGCTTACAAGGTTTGGAAGATACACTCGCGAGACGGTCCGAAAGTAAACGGCTTGTCCTTGGGCATATCTTTTGTAGGATCCTCGATTCAACAGTTCGATCGACATGAGAACCGGGTACAAAACGACGCTGATTCTCTCGATGCCCATATGCAATTACGAGGGAGACGTGATCGGAGTTGCACAGATTATAAATAAGACTAACGGTAGCAACGAGTTTACCCGCAAGGACGTCGAGGTATTTCAGAGGTAAACGATCGATACCCGTTTATTTCGATAACGTCTACGAAAGATAAACGATTCCAGATATCTGACATTTTGCGGGATCGGTATACAGAATGCGCAGCTCTTCGAGCTGTCCGTGCAGGAGTACCGTAGGAACCAGATACTCTTGAACCTAGCCCGAAACATATTCGAGGAGCAGAACAATCTCGAGTGTCTGGTCACGAAAATCATGACCGAGGCGAAGGAACTTTTGAAGTGCGAGAGATGCGCCGTGTATCTTCTGGATCTCGATTGCGGCGAGGCGGTGAGTTCGTTCGAACGAGTAAAGACTTTCGACCAAATTGATCTTAATCCGATCTGTCCACAGAGCGCAAAGTGCTCTTTAGTTTACCGAAGGATCGATGGGGAGTATAATAAGAGACGTTTCGTTTCAGGGACATCTCGAAAAGATCGTCGAAAGGCCGGGGAAGTCGACGCAGGAGACCCGGAAACCATTGTCGAGGAGAGAGGTGAGTGTGACCGGCACGCATTACTCGAGATTCGCACGTTTCATGATCCTTTTCTTTCTTGTCGGCTCAGAGCAATAATATCGAGATAGAGGACATTTTCCAACAACACGTGAGTATATGTGAAGGTCCCGATAGATCTCCGAATTTTCGATTCGCTTACGATGCTTCGTTTCGTGCCAAAATTTATTTTTCCTTCTCAGCCATCGAACGAGGCTAATAAATTTACCACGATGTTTGAAATGGACAACGAATCTCAAGAAGCTAAAGTGTACAGACCTAGCGGGGCGGATCTGTCGAACCCCCTGGGACAGATCGCGAGGTACGTCGCCGCTACTGGTCAGATTCTCAACATCGGCGACGTGACCACGTGGCTTAAAAAGGACGTCGTTCAATCCGGAAGCGAACCCATCAAGAGCATCCTCTGCATGCCCATAGCCAATGGACAGAGGACGGTGATCGGCGTCGCTCAATTGATCAACAAGGTGATCCTCTATCTCTCTTATCGCCATGTCTTATCCGCGAGATGACCAGTCTCTCCATCGTTCAACGCCTACGATCAATTTCTTTTAGGACAACGGGACGTCCTTCACGGACTCCGACGTATCGATCTTCGAGGCGTTCGCTATATTCTGCGGTCTCGGGATCCACAACACGCAGATGTACGAGTCGGCCTGCAAGCTGATGGCCAAGCAGAAAGTGGCTCTGGAGTGTTTGAGCTATCACGCGACGGCCAGCACAGACGACACGCAGAAATTAACGAGCGAACCTATACCTTCCGCGGAATCCTACAATCTCTACAGTTTCACCTTCATCGACTTCGACCTCACCGACGAAGACACCTGCCGGGCAACGATCAGAATGTTCAAGCAATGCGATTTGATTCAAAAGTTCCACATTCCCTACGAGGTTCTTTGCAGATGGGTTCTCAGCGTGAAAAAGAATTACAGGTACGGCAATACTTAGTCTATCGTCGTAAATTAATAAGGAAAGTGCAGTTCGTGGTATGAAAATTTTCTAGACCGGTGAAGTACCACAATTGGAGGCACGCGTTGAACGTTGCTCAAACGATGTTCGCGATGTTGAAGACCGGTAAGATGGAGCAATTTATGACCGACCTTGAAATCCTCGGACTCTTGGTGGCCTGTCTATGCCACGATTTGGATCATCGAGGCACCAACAACGCGTTTCAAACCAAGACCGAATCCCCGTTGGCTATTCTCTACTCGACGAGTACTATGGAGCACCATCACTTCGATCAGTGTGTCATGATTCTGAATTCGGACAGCAATAATATCTTCCAGAGCTTGTCCATGGAGGACTACAGGAAAGTGATGAAAGTTGTCGAGAGCGCGATTCTTTCCACCGATCTGGCGGTTTACTTTAAGAAGAAGAACAGATTCATGGAGCTGATCGACGAGGGCGAGTTCGACTGGCAGAGCGAAGAGAAGAAAGAACGTGAGACGAGTTCGTCGTTAAACCCTCGCCGATGAACGAACGTGCATCGCATTTACACTTTATTTCTCATTTTCAGTGCTTTGCGGAATGATGATGACTGCCTGCGACGTAAGCGCGATCGCGAAACCGTGGGACGTGCAGCACCGAGTCGCCAAACTGGTCGCGGACGAATTCTTCGACCAGGGAGACCTGGAGCGTCTCCAATTGAATCAACAACCGGTCGCTATGATGGACCGCGAGAGACGGGACGAACTTCCTCAAATGCAAGTAGGTTTCATCGACGTGATCTGCCTGCCGCTGTACAAAGTCCTCTCGGACACGTTCCCATGGATCATGCCGCTATACGAGGGCACCATGGAAAACCGGAAGCACTGGCAGGACCTCGCCGAGAAGGTCGAAATGGGTCTCACGTGGATCGACCGCGACACCATCGACGAACCCGTCGAAGAGTTCGTCTCCCTCGAGCCCAAGGACATCGAGTTCACAGTTACGACATTGAACTGCGCTCACGCGGACAAGAAAGAGGCGGCTCCCGACAAATCCTCGTTAGGAAAGTTCGCTTCTCTAAGGAAAGGAAGCCGCACGTTGAGCAAAGGCGTCAGGCACCGGATCAGTAGGTCGCTCTACGCTAGAAGCGCTCCCGAGGACCCCGCCAAATCGAAGGCGTTGATACCTGAAAGAAAGAGCCGCAACAAGTTGTGCCTCCTCATTTGACGGCTTACCTCATCGAGCACTCTCGAGAGCATACCGGAATGACGGAAGGAGAAACGATCGCTCGTAGACACAAGGGAGTCTATTAAATTGCTGATCTTCGACTATTCTTTGGTCATCGATCCATGAGCTTAGAAGTGACTCGGGGAAGAGAATTTACGAAGATAAACCGTGTGTACAATGAATGTACCGTGAAGGAGCACCGTATAGTTACCCTGGGGGTTCTCCGGAATTACCTACTCACCCTCGCCTCGTCTCGAGAAATCAAAAATTAAGTAGTAGGTACAGAAGCAATGTACGAAATCGACGTTTTTGCCACCGAACGGACGAATAAGCGAGTCGAAGCTCGAAGCCTGCAGATTTTAATCGCAACGAGACTATTTAGTCTTTAGGCAGCAGCAGCGCGTCGAGCTGTTAGTCAACAACGGCTAGGCTAGATAGTTAGAAGAGCGACGAGTAAAACGACTTTCGCGACACGGAGAAAAACGCACGGAATTAAATTTTGACAATCTTTTTTGTATAATATCTCTCGATATCTTATTAGGATAATCATCTCGTGGATAGAATCGACGGATAGAAAGGGACGTAGGATACGTTAATTTCTATGAAAAAGAAGGGAGTAAGACAGTGGCCGAAAGATGGGCATTTTTTTATACCAAAGAAAACGAGATAAGAACGTTGAACTCTCGTTACACTTCGAATCTCACGCGTTGGTTCTAAAGACGACTACGCGAAATCTGTTGGCAATACCACCGGGCGAACGGACCACGGATCGATGCCTACAATTATTATTGAATTGATCGTTCCGTTGCGTCATTCGATCGCTCCAAAAATCGCGTCCCTGACGCAGCTAATAAATTCGAATAATATCGCACTCAAGGATATACGCGCGTATTCTATTTCCTCTTTTCTCTTGTTTCTGCGCATCGGACAAGCGGAATCTTTATATTTTTCTATATTTCTTTCGTCAAATAATAATCGAATATGAAGGAACAGAGTTCGATGAATTTTTCGTTCAATAAAGTTTCAACGATCAAATCGTACGGAATCGTTTGACGCGTGGCAACGACCTAACAGGTAAAATAGGTACGTATTTCTTTACGAAACGAGAAAGTATAAGTGTGAGCGATATACACGCACAAGCGGCCGAACTTTACGTTATACTATGCGCGAGGATCAATTAAAACATGTCTGGAACGATGCGAATGAAGTGTTTTTAAAAGTGAACATGAAAAAAGTCGGATCGATTTCTCGTCTTTTGATATAGCTGCTCTGTACAAACATGTCTGTCAGAGATTATCGCACACGATAAAATAAAATCTGAATGTGCTCAAAGCGCAACAGTCTCTTTAATTCTTCATTTTCCTAAATAAATAATTCTCATAATTAATTAATATCTGTAACGATCAAAAGGTAAAAATTTAAAACATAAATTACAAATGAAAATAAGAAACATTAAGACATTCGATGTAAACGAAACGTTTCTAATAGTAATGATGATCACGAGCCACCGACGATCCATGGTAGGAATGTAACTCTCAATGGTTATCGATAACTCGTGGAAAAATGCTTGTAGGCGATGATAAACCCTGATGATCGGTGGCTCGCGAAACGTGCAACTTACTACTTATTGGAATCATCCGTCGTTGAGCTTCGGAGTACACGGTCTTCCGTCTTCGTCAATTTTACGCAGCATTTTATTATTAAAACATTTAGAAATTACACTCGAACGATGGTGTCCTTTACACAGTAACGAATCGTCAAACGTTTTGGTCCTACGATTAAATTAAGTATAACGAACTTGGTTGTCGTTTTCTTCTTCCTCTTCAACATTTTCATTTCTCCCGATACTCCGTGTGTCGACGGTTGTAATTCGCTATTTACACGTTGCGCAACGTTCGGTCGCACAGAGAGAGAACAGAATAAAGTAGAGCCTGACCACGCTTAATACTACGGCACTGTTCGACAAAATTTGTTTCATCGGACGAAGAATTGTACCTTCTACGTGCAACGAGAGAGCTCCTCGTTTAAATATCATTCGTACGGGAACGAAACAACGAAAAATAAAAGTGTCGAGGCAGTGGCGCGGCTATTTCGCAAGATTCATTCACCTTGTCGCACAATTACATAGAGCAGGCTCCATTTATAATCGTCGTGACCAAGGACGAGGCCGAGCGTATCCTGTATACGAATAAAAAAGAAACTGAATGTTCGCTTTCGTCGTTGCGGTAAGTATATCTGGACACTGAAACAGCCGTCGAAACGTCTCTCACTCTCGTCAGTCGTGGTTACAACAACGATAAAATGTTTCGTGGCTTTTCGTTTGAGATCATTCACCGAGTCCCGTTAAACGCATCAAACCAGAGGGAAGGATCCGTCAAGAGAAAGGTGAGCAGGCGAGAAAATATAAATCCCGGGCCTCGCGCGTACTTCGTAGAAAAATATAAAAAAACAAAACGATTTACATATAATATATTACGTATCACGCATACGACACACGGTACAGTTATGTACGTACATGCAACCGGCACCATTGGATCGGTGAATCGGACTTCTCCGTCCTTGATCACGATGCTCGCACCGTCGCATCGATTCGATACAATTATAATCTAATTAGTCGATCACCTATTTCCATATCGGGTTTCAACGTTCTTTTCCTGTTGTTGTTTTTCCTTTTTTCGTTAGCCAATCCAACGGAGAATCCTTAGCGCAAATACTTGTGCCGTCAATTTCGATCGAATCAGAATGATTTGTTCCGAAGAAGCGTTCCATCCACGGCGAACGTATCCCTGGGCTGGTGTCGCGCGTAGGTGTGTTTCACAGGTATGACGAGAGTAATATAATTCACGGAACAGAAGCATCGCGGAAGATACCAACGCGGAAGAGAAGCTGGAACGAAGTTCAATGAAGCGTTTTCGAAACTTGCAGCGAGGCGAATAAACGTTTTTCAGTACTTGACGTTGTTCGTTGAATCAGTTCCGAGACTCGGCTCCGAGCCTGCGAACCGGGAATCAAATTCGGATGTGATTCGCGCACCGTCGCTTTCGTTATATAAATGCGAATAACGAATAAAATGTTCGAGAGAACGGTAAAAAAACTGCTTAAATATTAATCGACGCGCAAACAAACCTGATGCGAATACGAGACTCGTGCGTTTCTAATCGTACGCGTTCGTTAGGCAAAACGAGTATACGCATCTGGCTTGTTTGCATCGGTCGCTTACACTGGTACATTGTTGTACGCATATAAAATTGAAATTATACAATGCACGTTCGCGTTTCGATCAATCTCAATTTGAACACTGGATACAATCGTTTTCGTTGATCGATGAACGTACATGCAAAGAAAAATTAACTACGTAATTCTCGTTTTCGCTGGCAAACCCTGTGTACTTCGAACATTGCGTGTGCTCCAAGATGGCGAAACAAAGTTAGCGCCGGAACACGAGAGAGTCGAGGCGAGTGTTGCTCGCGCGATCGAAGTCGACGAAGGGTGTTTGGCAAAAGTATAGTCGCGTGTATGTTTACCGAACCATTCACGTTGCACAAACAAAAAACGATAAGATAGGATCGGAACCTGAACGAAATGTTACGTCCAGAGACACTCATCGGCTCTCACGTGGGTTCAGCAATCCCAAAAATGTAGCAAAAGTGCGCGTAGTCACATGAAGAATTCCCTGGATCGGCTAATTTGCAGTCACGACGCAGGTCTGTCCAGTACCGAAATTTCTATTAGCCTAAGGCCGCGCATTGTCGGATCCGTTAGTAAAAGCCCGCGCGGCTTGTAGACTCTGTCATTTTGTTCACTAACGAACTTTGCCACTTTTCTTAAACACTTCTCGTAATGAGTCTCTGTACATATGTAAATTAGATAACCAGTGAGACAAGCCAGGCAGCCTTCGCAATACGTGGAACAAGTAGCTCGTTCTGCTTCGGCGAAGTAGTTGTTCAACTGCTTGATCGTGAACTCGAACGACTGTCTGTCCAGCTAAATTGGGGAATAAGACAGCAAAAAGTTTCCTATAAATAGAATATAAATCGCCGCTCGGCTAATCGAGACGAACAACAGCTAATTGGGCGAACAAAGGAGCTTGCTAAACATTTTTCCAATAATCCGATCCTACGCCACACACGTTAACACAAGCTGATGGTTAAAATCGCAGGAAATCGTATAAAAATACATAAGGAAGCGTAACAAAACAAATGTAAAGAAGTGTACGATTTTAAAAAAGGGAATGAACTATTTTCTCGATACATACTCTGCTTTCGAGTTCCGTGGGAAATTGTGTTTGAAACTTAACCATAGTGCCTTCGCTGTAGTCACGTTGTATAAAAACTTTTTGACAATTCGGTGGAGGCCCCCCACCTGCCTGCCCCCGACCAGCTGACATATCCTCCAGGGGTGTAAGGGCAGCGTGATTGCCCTAATAAACAGATCCAATAAACATTATGTTCGAACATCTCAACGATCGACGCTCTTGTCATCGCACTCGTTTACTTTCTTTCAATGTCTGTCGGTGATCGTATTTGTTTTCGAGCACGACATTCGGATTTCGGATTAGTCTATAACCAACAAAAACCGCACCCAATGTGTTGAAAATCGTACGCGAAGAAAAGTGAATCGTCGACGATCAAACGTGAAAACGAAAGTGGAAGATCCGATGATCGAATATGGAGTAAATGATAGACCGAGAGCAACGACGTAACGACGGTGCTTCGGTGAGAGGCCAATGGTGAAAAGACGGAGAGAGATACCGTGACGAAAGGTGGGCACACTTACCAGTGGCATTTTGAGCTTCGTCTTGGCGATTTGTTAAAACAGGTCTGCCGAAAACAACCTCGACTTGTTAGTCGAACGCGGTGCAAGTCGATAAAAACGCGGCTGATAGACGAACGGCGGGATCTTTTGTTGAGAAATCGCGGAGAACGACACTCAGACCTCGGACCCGACGCCCGACGACTACGGCCACTACGGCACAACACCGCCGCCATGAAGCATGCGCACGCACGCATGGAAACTGTAATCGGAATAAAAATACAAGTCCGCGAGTGTCAAATTTTATGTAAAACAATGCGAATCATATGGTATTATTTCAAAATTGATTTTAAGAATTTCTAACATAAACTGTTACAACTGTGTTAAGTGTGAGCCTCTTCTTTATAGTTATGTTAGCAATCTTTAAATAGACCGGCGAACAGAGTAAGAAACAAAGATCTTGAGACACGTTTTAATTTAGATACCTAGAATTCGAACATTCGATTTAACGAAAGATTTGTATTTTCTCTAATAGCTGATGCTTTGTAGTAAGTATATTAATATTTTCATGAACATTAGATAATAAATCTTTATAATGTTGACTAACCTGGTTACTGATAACTGACGGGGAATCACCCAACTAATCTGATATGCATTTCTAACTATATACAAAACAAAGAACTACGCCACCGCCAGAGTCTGGCGGCCAGAGTGTCAGAGTGCGTGCAAGACAGTGCAAGACACTGCAAGAAAGGCAAGAAAGACAGTGAGTCACGATTAGCACAGACGATTAAATAAAGTTCCTTAAATTCAGTGTAGTGAACGTTGATAGTGTAATTATCCTCGATTCAGTAAGTAAAAAAACTTATTCTATTTTTATAGATCGTTTGTACCAGACTTGTACCAGAGAGGAAAGTCCTCTCTGCTTGTGCTACAAAGTTTCGTAATACATCACGATCAACATGGCCAATACGTAGTCTAAATGTTGTCAGTTTTGAAATATTGAAGCACGCAGGTCCATACTGAACGTGTTAATTGCAAACCACCCGTCATTTATTTATATTTTGTAAAATTCATATTTTCACGTACTTATTACATTTATATTAAATAAGATATAGTATGATAAATAACTTTGGTCTATATTGTTCACACTTCAATCATCTATCCGCAACAAATTTCTTTATATCGTTTATGACAGATTTTGACCTCATTTATCGCAAATCGTCACTTACCTTCGACGATCTGTTTATCTTCTTAAATTGTATCAATTAAAAGGAATGCAGAATGATGAAATCAGAAAAGTAGAACAACAGAACAATAGATAAGAGAACAATGACTTATTTCTCCTTTGTTTCAGGCGTTGATACCTCACAGACATAAAAATAAGCAGTTAGTAGCATCTTCGAAAATGGAATTAATTGTACGACCACCAAGCCCACTGTCGGATAGTGGGAATATAAAGGAGAATTGGAAAGATTGGAAAATGGATTTCTTAGTATATTTAGGTGTGAATTGTAAAAATGAATCGGAAGAGAAAAAAATGTTTTTTTTAAAACAATACATAGGAGAATTTGGTATAAAAATTGTGAACAAAATAATTGAAAATATGATAAATAAAAATAATATTACTATGTTGTTAACAAACCTTGATGAACACTTCGGTGTTCATAGTGAATCTCATGATGTTCCTGAAAATGAAGTTACGAATAGGTACAAGTTCTTTACAGCAGAAAGAACAACTGGATCTATCGCAAAGTACGCTAATCATTTACAAGTAAGTTATTTGAAACCTTTTTTGAATTCTGCTCAAGTTCTATAACATTCTTTCAAAAATATTCGTATTATACATGCTATTGAAATTTTACTCTTTTTCAGAGATTGGCAGCCCCTTGTAAATTCGGAGAAATTAAAGATAGTTTAATTCGAGACAAAATAATTCTTGAAGTAAAGGACGGCCGCCTAAGAAAAAAACTCTTTAAAGAAGAAAATCTTGACTTACCAAAATTAATAACAATTTGGAACAAACACGTAGCTGAGGCTTCGGAAAGAAAACAAGATACATTTAAAGAAAAGAAGAACAATGATGATACTAAGAATACGTCGACTGAAAACAATAAAAATGATATTAAAACAACTCCCAATAATAATGTGAGCAGAAACAAAACTGTTCCTAAAAGAAACGACAATAACAATTCTGACGATGATCGTGAATCAACTACTAGTTCGTGTAGTAACACTAATTGGGAGAATAATACTCAACAATTCAAAAGAAACTGCTGGAGGTGCAATACAAAACACCCCATGAAACGCTGTCCTGCTTGGGGTAATAAATGTGAGAAATGTGGTGAATACCGTCACTTTACTAACCAATGTAGACTTCCGTTCAGAAATTACGATAAGAGAAACGTAAATGAACAAAATACGTCACGTAATATGCATATCAATGAATCTAATTTTCAACATGAAAGGCAACTGGTAATCCGCCAAACAAAAATAAAAGTGTACTTATCCTGTTCAAAGGGAAGAAAAGAACGTAAGGAATTTATGATATGTACTTCTTATAGCAGCCAAGTGCTCCACAACTTGACTTCATCGCAACTGGACAGACGTTGTATCCAGTATTACCTACTACCAGTTCGGTACATGGCCCTCTTCCTCAACCGCCTGTGGGGTACAACCAAAATCAGTCACACCGTACGGGAACCCCCGGAATGATTCCAAATATGGTAAATATGGAACGACGACAGTCTTAGTTTTTAACCATTACATCTTGCTTCTTTGTAGCCTAACGCACACGCAGAGTGGTCATGGATGCACAACGAAAATTTAAAATCGCGTGAGGTTCTACAAAACAACGCTTACGCACCAGATACAATCTCAAGATCCCCAACAAACAATCATTCAGGTCCACAAGGAGCGGGCGAAGCTAAGAATACAAAAGTGAAGTCTAAAAATGAATGTATTTTGCAGTAGGAGTGGTTATAAAATGTTACTGTGCTTCATCTAACAAGTTTTCCATTGTCTGCATTAAACTTTATTCAACAAAATATTAAACTTTTTTTTAAATGTAAAAATAACATCTTATATGTATTGACGTACATTTATGTAATGTTGTTGACAAAGGATAGCCTGATTCCATGTATTATATCTGTACGTCAATTTTAATTTGTATGTTCAATGTTGTTACATTGGCCCCTCTAAACTAATAAATACAGATGGCACGTTAAATAGAAACTGTGATGGATCGATATTTTCTTCGCTCGTTAAAAAACTGAATTAAAACTAAACGTGCAACGTGTGCAGTAAGATCTTCGCATTTAATCAAAAGAACATCTGCTTTATTTGTTCCTATTTTATACGAATGATATACGTTATATAACATTTCTTAAACGATACATACGACTTATTAATAAAAATAAATAAAGCACTAATCTCTTTGGTATGAGACTCACAATAACAATACGTAGAATATTGGTAGTTTTTTTTACTATATGTACTTGTCATGCGTTTAATACGTAGAAATTCCGTGGCAGTCAAACTGTGTATAGTGCTTTATAACAATTTTGTATAATTGCGCGAGGACGTACACAAATTTGTTTCATTAAAATTGATCTGTATCTCGATGTTGTACAGAGGTATAATAAACGAACTATTTTATACTGTCTATGCGTGAAATTAATTCGTTCGTTCCTTTTCACTTAAAGCTCCTATAAAATTCGTTACTTTAAATATTCCTTAAAAACAGAACATTTCACGATACATTGATAATAGTTTAGATGTTAATAACAACGCATTGTAAAAATCGAAAATCGGAAGCAAACAGTTGTTAAGAAAAATATTTAAAATTTCAAAACAGTTTTCTAAAGTTAGACTTACCTGTATTAAAAAAGATTAACAACGATAACAGTAAAGTTTGTTCAAAAATTGCTACAAAAATTACTATACTACGAGAAAGTCCTATAAACGTGTACTGTAAAAATCTATAAAAATACGCGTTAAACATTATCCGTTTCTTAATAAGCATATTATGCGTAGCTTATACACGCGTGTATTAAATACGTCCTGTACGATGAGTACAAAGTCTTATAAATGAAAGACTCCGATATCCGCATGGCATTAGTAAATAGGCGCGATGTCCGTACTAGTCAAGACGAACAAATAGGAGGATATAGGTATGTATATCAAATTTGTACATGTATAAATATATATTAAAAAATATCGAGTGTAAAATTTCTATAGCTGATATTTTCCACTCGCAAAAGTATAAAAATTTTTACGTTCTCATTGTGTCCGATAACGATACATATGTAGGTATACGTATAAAATTCATCCAAAAGTTTTGTTTCATGGATGGAATGAAGGCAAATCTGTACAATTTCATCTCGATATTTGTCATGTTACTGAAAATAGATCTAAGCATGTCTCGCTGTTACTTCTAGTTACGACGATAGATACTTTTCTAATTGCGCGAAAAAAAAATATAAAAAAAGAGAAAGGTACGGTGCAAACCAGTGTAAATGGTAACTTTTTAGTGTCCCACTGTATAGAGCTAGACGTCTGTTCAATCATCAGTACAGTATACCGGCAAGGGGCACGAACGTGAAATAATTCGAATCAAGTTACGGACGGATCTTGACTAAAATTATCTACATCCGAGCAGAGCGTAACTTTGTTTAAACTATATGGTGGTCTTTTTGGTTTCGGCGGTGGCGTGGGGGGTTTTGTTTGAACGTCAAGATCTTCTGTAGGGGTGGGAAGTTTGTTTTTCGACCACTGTCCTAGGGATCGATTAATATTGTTCGAAATACCTGTTCCGCAATGTTGAACGGGTAACTCTTCCGGTAGATTGCAATAATCAGCTTCGCGAGTTTTCACAGGTAGGGGCGGTGGCGGATCGTCCTCGGATGTCGTGCTATCCGTGGTACCGATACTATCTCGATTCCCCTTTCCTAAACTGCCAGAATCTAGTCCGTTGTTTATATTCCTCAAGTAATGCTGAGACTGTCCAGACAAACGATTGCTTATTCTTCTTTCCTTTTCTACCTCCGATCTTAATGGACGCGTTGGTGTCAACTACACGATGATTGTATCGTTATTACTATCGAAAATTATAATGAATCGATGAAACGTTACCTCTTGACGAAGTTCGAAGATCGGACTAGTAGGGTAGCTTGATATCAGCGGTGTGACGGGGGTCGATATAATTTGCGACACGTCCGTAGTAGTGTACCATTGACTGGTCGGTTGATCGCTTTTCGTTGACGAAGCCGAATCACTTTTACGAGCGCTTCTTCGCTTCGAATCCTTCTTCTTATTCGTTCCCGGATTCGGGCTTCCGAGCGCTTTCTGCAGAGATGCCGTCGACAATATATGCGAACGTATCGATGAGTTCCTGTACGGCAGTTAATCCTCTTATTATAGACAAGTGTTTGCACCGTATCTCGACGTAAATAGAATTAGATGCTATAGTTATTGTATGAACTAGTATAATAACTATTATTTACCTATTTAGCGTAATAGTCGGTTGTTATTCAAATTGTTTTAGTCGGGTAGAAATATGGTAAAACAACAGATGACACGTAAAATAATAGCATGCAAAAGAAAATAGAAAAGAATGATAAGTGGAATAAAGTAATATGTACAGATGAAGTTCTCGCGACAGGTATTTATATACATTTTCATTTTTTCCTTTTTGACTTGAGAGAAAGAAACAATTATGAAAAGTACATAACAGCCTTCGACACGTCGAACAAAAATTAATCTAACGAAAATGGTAAGCCAGCCAACGCAAAAGTATTAAAGCAAGAACAAAAATTTGTTATATATCGTTATATGCATATGCACCCATGTGTACATATGTACACGAAAACTGCTAGGAACGAAGGAAGGATAATAGGATATTGTGCTTGTCGGGTCCGACAGCGAAATTCCTGAAATTTATACATACATTAATCTAATCATTATTCCTCAAGTAAAGATAATATGTACATATAAAGTGTAATTAAAATGAATGACTAGTACGAAAGGGAGCTACGAAAGTAGATAGATAGGTCTAATCTTCTTAAGCGACGATGGCTGTGATATTTTTACCTTGACAAGTTGACACTTTGAGTACCAGGCGAAGCTGTACTGTTGTTGTTAAAATTGAATGAGGCGAGCGACTTGAACGTTGCGACTTGGGATCTTGTAAGAGAGGATACCCTGGAGTGAGTGCCACAGCTGAACGAGATAATTACAACGTAACCAGGTGACATTATGACAAACCAGACATTTGTTATACGGAATTATTTATACAGAACATCTATCGTTTCTTTTTATTCGAATACGTAGACGTACGTGTTACGATTATTCTCGTTTAAACGTTTTTCAGTTTTACATGCATGTGTAATCTTTACAGACAACTATAATAATAATATAAACAGCGCTTTAAAACAAAAATCCCATACCAAAGTTAATGTCATATTCGACAAAGAAATAAAGAATGAACGAAATTGGTGTTAATAAAAATAATAGCGATATGTTCAGCAAATTAGATGCGCTTAAACGTTACACTCACTCAGTATTGCTGATATTCGATTCGGATAATCGGTGAGTCTCGCCTCTCGAAGCTTGATGCCTTCGCATTGTAACGGGTTGCGATAAACTTTCGACTTGTAAGTCGCATGTCTGCAACAGTAATTATAATGATATGCAAATTGAAATACTTTAGCAACGAGATCGAATCCCGACGTACCTTTTTCCCATACTTGGCCTCGACTTGACTTTTCATCGACGCGAAACATACTTCGAGACGTTGATGGAACGGAGTCAATTCAGGGGGAGCACGTAGCTTGTGCAACTGCACGCCGACCCCTAACAACGGTATTTGCTCGGCGATTAATCCCTCCAGTTTCGAAAGGTCGGAATTCTCCTCCGGGTGCGAAGCGCGATACTCGGGATTGAGAAACGCTTTTTCATAATTATCTATACCGCCCATCACCGCCGGATCCAGTATACCGTTCAGTTTCATACTAAGCGGATTTAACGGAAGATTATTATCAGCTTTGTGAGCCAAAATTAAATCTCTCAATGCAGTATTGCTAGCTTCCATCGTTTCAATCGCATTGCGGAGAGGGCTCACTAAGTAGGTTTCACTGGACGTGACTGGAAAACATCGAAGAATACCCGGTAAAGGATGACTTGTTACGAGTATCGTTCTTTCGAGCCACAACGAGGCGAACTCGTTATTGCTAATCGTATTCGTCGACGTTTCCTTTTCCTTATCGCTAGAATTAGCGTTACTCAAAATCAAATCTTTCTTTGGCGCTGGTCTCGAAAAACGGAAACGTTGTACATCGTTTACTCGATGATACCTAAATATCGATAACAAAGTTTTTAAATTACATAGATGTGCACGCATATATCGATGAACTGTATCCACCTACCTTAACACTGCTTCTGCTGTTATAGGTTTTCCACTAAATCGTTGCTTTTTCTCATCCATTAACGGATCCACCCTGTTAATTTGGACGTATTGATGATTAGATTCTAGCATTTCCGATGTAGGAGGAGACAACTTATTCATTTGTTCCGCGTTTGGTAACTGATTCAACGTCCGTGAACAAAAGTCGCTGAGACGTTCGTATTCTTTCCCACGATAAATAAATACCTATGATCGATTAATAATGATAAATTAGAATCTGAAATAACTATTCGATTGTAAATGATCGGCTTATCTATATATATTTTCTGTACCTTATTTTGTAAAAACGCCGGATGACCGCGACCGTAATACGCTACTCTAAAGTATTCGGGTTCGGGCCTCAATTGTTTAACGATCGCGTCATAAAACGTAGCCATGCGTCTCAGCAATACAGAAAGTTGTAGATAATCGAACGTTTCTTTCTCGTACTGTTCAATTAACTCTTTACAGACTGCGAGCGCGCACTCCCACATTTTACCTTTGTCAAAATATGCGATCATATCGTTGTATAATGCCTCTTTTAGTTCCCGATGCGTTTGACAGGACAAATATCTGTGCGATTTCAAAAGCGGTGGTAATTGCCGGTCGCTCCACTCTAACAACTGACTATGGAGTTTCAAAGAATACGCAGCTTCAGTATAATTGTCGCATTCTAAATGCAGCTCGCAAAGCTTGTTCACGTATCTGAAAGAGAAACGAGCAATCAATAATTATCTACTCGCATAAGCATATTAGTTTCGTTTTGAAAAAAGGAAATTATTAATCGCGCGGTTTTACCTGATATACATTTCTTTTCTATTTATTTCGGAATAAAATTCCAGCAGATTTACGATACACAACATTCTATGTTCCTGAGACTCTGCGTGCATGATATCACGATACTGTAAAAGACGTTCCATAAGTTTAGCTACTGTGTCCACGAAACGCAGTCCTTGATCTCGCAAGGTAGAGTGTTTGTCGCAAAGATTTCCCATTACTTGAATCCAAAGTAAACGAAATTGTTCATCTCCTCTGCCGCCCTCAACCTGTCATAACATGTTTCGTAGTAAACGACAGATATCTTAAACAGTATCGGTATAAATATGTGACCTACCAATATATCTAATTTTGCGATCATCTCATTTTCATATTCTGTAAAATTAGCTTTTATGTGAGTAGGTTCGCGTTTCGTATCGCCGTACCCTTCAACCATGCGTGAACTATAAAATTCGCATTGCATCATATCGAAAAATATAGGAATGGTTGCTTTCCTCAGTTCACTCTCTGGAATTAACGCCATTTCCAAAATCGCCCCGACCAAAGCCGGAACGAACATTATTTTGTATTGCCCTAAATTAAACCACATCGACCGTATTTCAAACGCAGTTTCCCTAGAAAGAGAACAATTTTTACTGATTGTTCTTTCGATACATATTTGAAAGATTAGATATATAGACTTAAATTAAAAATTTACTTACCTGCGCATATCGTTATAACGCGTTGCAATTCGATTGCGTTTCGACGTTGTAAAAGTTTCTAACTGCAAAGCCGGTTGAGTTAAGAACGCGATTGTACAATGAAAAAAATTAGACCAGGCTTGTTGTTCAAAGTCAGTGAAATAATAATCTCTGATAGTGCCTGAGAAATAGCGTAGCGATTTTAAAATTATGCTGTTCTGAAGCATAATCATCTCGCACCAATCTCCTGGAAATACGCTTTTCGACACTAAATCTTTGAATACCAATAAAATTTCCATAAGAAAATCGAGTAAATCGAACTTGGTTCGAAAGTGATTTATATAAATTTCATAATGATGCTGCGTCATTTGCCTAAAACACACGCTTAACGTTACTACTCATCGTGTACGGATTTTGATTTCTTTCTTATCGTTCGTAGCTCGTTAGGGTTTTTACCTAAATATGGCAAGCATAACTGAAACTAAATTTCTCACTAATGGGTTTTCTCTGTCCATAGATATAACAGTTTGTATAATCGTTCGTAGAGCGGTGAGCATAATTTCTTTCACGTCCTGCACAGTGCTTCCTATGTCCTTTCTAAATGTTAGTTCCAATATATCAGATAAAATCTTGACACACAATTCTACCTGTACGAACATAAAAAGTGAAAAAAATATTCTAACTTAGTTACATGTTAAACATTTCCTCATAAGAATACGATGAGGCAATTAAAAATAATGGTAAATTAAACAAGGCAATAAAAACCATTCCCGATGATCTAACATAAAATACTTATCGCAGTTAGATTAAAATGCGCGTCTCTCGTATCAGTTGCAATCACCGTGCCAATAAACATTTTTACTTGCAGTCAAGTAACATGTTCGTGTTTTCACCGTGTAGGTACACTTGAACAATTACCTCTTCGCCGAAGCCACGGTGCTGGTTGAGTCGATGTCGATTTTCGCCGAGCAGCCTGGCTACCTTCGCCACGCTTTTTCCAGGCGTACTTGACAGCCCCTTTTATAGGCCAATAACCAAAACCAAACCAAACACAAAAAAAATGAAACAGCCCTATGTTAGTTAGAATATAATGCCAATTTATGCATCAAAACAAAAAATTATATAGTTAAATCCTTAATACTGCCCACCACCTGAGACATATTGCATCGTAAGAATCCATGCAAGGATAGTAGTGATCTAAGCAATAGAACAAATGTAAAAGGGCTGACAATGAGAAACTGTGTGATTTCCATGCTGTCAGAAGTAAGAAATGCCTAATTTTTTCATGCTAATGTAAGAGTTTTATAAAGGATGTCTTTGATTCAAATTTCAAGCCCTTACCATCCAAGGAGAACATTCAATGTATACCGCAACGTTTATCAATTTTTTGGTAGGCACAATCAAGTTTATGCGTAAGTGAAGACATCTTAGAGGTGAGAAAGTAACAAGACGGATGAAATACATAGAAAGATGCGTGGCGGGAGGATGTCAGGCTGCACGGAAGCACAAACATGATGCTAATCACGATACTTGTAGGAAGACTTTATATAAACACAAGTCGAATAAAACTTCGCTCATATTCTGATTATGCGAAACGAGGACGATAGTGCAACAAACGTACAACATACATATACTCGATTTTAAGCTGTATCACACCCACGTTATTATGCACGAAGCCTCGACAAGAATTTGATTATTCATGAAAGGATTTCACAATTTCGAAAAATCATCGGAACATCAAAACAGTGGGTGCATTGAAAAATTAGTCATTTTGTATGCACTCTTTTTTCTCCACACAATGATCGCCAAGTCGTTGCGATTGATATCAGTCGAGCGACTTACCTCTTCCTTAGCTTCCAATAAATCGCGAACCAAAATAATGATTCTAGGTAACAGAATCGCCCTGCAATCCGTGTTCAAAAAAAGAGGACTATGAATCATATCATTTACTGTCATCATTTTCTGTTTGGTCAATCTTCCTACTGGCAGTGTAACTAATAAATCGGTCAGGATCGTGCTCAATTGCTTCCCGCTGTATACTCGTAGCAGATGAGGTATAGTAGCAGGCAAATATTTAAGACACGCTCCTTGAACTAACAAAGTACTGTCTGTTTCATGCCTCATCAGTTCGACAATCGATCTCAGCAATTCGGTTAAAGTTTGAGAAAACTCTTCTTCGTCTTGATTTAGCCTATTTAAAAATATACACGTTTTAACACATGTCCACACACGATCGTGTAACGTATGATGAGACGTACGCAATGAATAGAAGGCGAGATTCAACGATAAATCTCATACAATATTGTAGACTCTTCATAGTCTTCAGGAGTATGTCGCGTTCTTGTGAACCATTGTTGGTCGCGTTATCTATGCGTTTACGTAATACTGCAATTAATTTTTTGTACGCAAGCGTTGCAGAAAAACTCTCGGAAATGTACAGATCCAATACTGGTTGAAAGTGTTGATATTTTCTATCGGATACGAGGCCAATAATGTACAATAAGCATTCAAAGACCATGTCGTCGTAAACGTCACTATCGGAATTGCTCATTAGTATATTGAACAAAGCGTCCAAAACATCCTGGAACATGATTAGAATTCATCTATATCTGTTTATCGAAATCGAATCGATATTTGCATTACCGAAAATCTACCGACCTGTAAGAACTTTACCACGTCCTCACCGTCAACTTTCATTAAGGCGATCAAAGATTCTTTTAAATCTGTATTGTGCGATGCCCAGTTCAATAAACCTAACAAGTCTACGTTCTGTGTCAACTTTGTTGAACAAATATTGCTCGCGATCAAAAAGTTATCTTTGCTGCTTAAGGTAAGTGCACCCACCGTTGGTTTCTTCTCAACGTTCAATTCCATCTAAAAGAAGGAATGCTTTAGCTATCCATCACGTATACGCCAAACCAAAATTTAATCTTCCGAGTTGTACCAATTCACCCCTCGTCGATGGCAATTTCAAATAGGATATATCAGCCTCTTCGTACTTTTTCTGGTCCAACTTATAAACTAGCAGCTCGTGCTGAATATCTTGCAAGGTTGTACCATTACGTTGCATCAGTTTAACGTAACTTAAAGCGAAAGGTTTCTCGGATTTATCCTTTGCTTCGTTCGAACTGCGGTGTCTAAATGTAAATTTCAGGTGCGCCTGTTTGAATTCCTGGATAGGAACAGCAATTTTAAATGTTTCACACCATCTTGGCTTGTCTTCGTGATAATAAATAACGCTGCGATATTCATCGATCATCGATGCTCCACCGCCCAATTTGATAACTCCTGGTATTGGCACGCCACCCTCGTTACATACTTTGACCTACCAACATACAATGTTCACGATAACGTGTTTAAAATCGTCATTTAAACGATACTCACCGTAACTTCAACATTTTTATCCGTAGACTTTGACCCTTTATTAAATTCACCGCTTATCAATGTCAGATACAAGTCGTTCCTAACGTCGCCTGGTAATATGACTTCTGGGAATCCCATTTTCCTAGCAATGGCAACATTACCAAGCACTAAATGTGGATTTTCATCGCGTACCTATGTATCAAATCCTTTGAAAATACCACGCAACGCTGTTAAATCTCACACACTCTCGAAAACCAATGTTACCACTTACTTGTTTCGGATCTCCTCTGAGTAACTTTAAACTGGCCCATAAACCTTGAACACCGGCGAAGTTGCCATTGCTTCCATTACCACTTTTTTGGATATTTATCTCTTTCTGAGAGAGAATCCTACGTAACGTGCCGTCTAAACTTTCTTTCTCACAACATCTGGAACGAAATGAAAGGAGCCCGACAAAACGAATTCTTTCATCCGAACTACACAAATTCAGATTTCTCATGAACACGTTCACATGCCCTTTCGAGTAAAACGTTCGTACTTACTGTACGAAAGGAATAAAGTGATGATGATCAGAATCGCCTTCAAGTCTTCCAGTGATGTACGCTGTAATATCCATTGCCGCTACACCAAACGGCCTCCTCATGTTTTCGGTGTTTCTCGACTTTTGACTAACTTGCGTTACGCTCGAACGCCGGTGGTCGATGACTTTAACTTCCATACCTCCGATCCTGATCACGTAACAAACTAAGTAAACCTTGTCTCTGGCTAAATCTCGAGAACCGAGATCCGTGAACAAGACTCGGAGGTTGTGCAACTGATCTATGTCGCGTGCGAGTCCCTCTTTGCTCCACGATACCACATAATTTTCTGTGATCGCTTTCATCTCTTTTCCATCGTACAGAGTCAATAATAACTCTACGTCCTCAGCCATTTTACACACAAAATTTCTTACGCTAACAAAAAATATGTGCGAGTACACTGGCGCTTGTGGTTTCGACGATTTCTGTTTAGTATCGTTAGCCGCCTTTCTTATTCTTTCCGTAGCTGTTTCATGATGGTAATACAACTGAATCGTACTCGTTTCTTCAGGATTTAGAACATTTCCCTGTTCATCGCGGACAACCATGTCCATACCTAATAGCTGATTTCCAGTATCGATTCTGGCTGTTGCCAATCTCTTCATATCTTTTAACTCGTCCACCGTTAAAGTGCCACTTAAAATTTTGCTTCTGTACCCAATTAATTCTAAAATTTGTTGCTGCATCGTTCGGAAATGCACCGAGTGCACCTGTAAAGAAAAGGAAAGCATTTTAAGATCCCTTTATATGCTGACGCAGACTACAAGGAGATATACGCACCACGTATAGGTGCTTCCAGTGATGTCCCCATTCTCTTAGAACATTAGTAATTTCGTGTATTAAACAATCCGTATTCATCGATTGTTTTAAAACGTGTACGTAAGGCTTTGGAAAGATTCCGCTTGCTCCGTTCAATTTACTACGTCCGTGATACCAATCTCCGCATTCTTCCAATATATGTATCACCTCCCCAACAGTTAATCGCATCGCATGGGGATCATCGTGCGTAAAGTTATGTATGGCTACATGACAAGTAATTAATTACGCTTACAAGTATCAATTTTGATACGAATTACATAGGATGACGCTTTAATGAATATATTAAAAGTACAAAATGATTCGAAGCAATTAGAGATAATGTAAAGGAGAAAAAAAATTCAACAATTAATTACGGTTATACAGACATATCTGTGTAATATTATATGTGCAATAATGTGCATGTCCGTAATATGTGTGCGTGTCTACGTACATGTCGTGTTATTATGTAAATGATAATGTCACGAACATTTATTATCGTTTTAATAATATCCGTGAGTTGATTAAATGTACTCGAAAAATGTAAATAAAATCATCAAATTCCACGTCTATGAATAATTGTGAATCGACACTTGGTGAAACCGCAACTAAATTTTATCTGGTTGGGGCACCTCCCAGGATGTTAGATGGTCCAAACGCTACATTAATATAAATATTACGCGATTTATTCCTTACCCACGCCTAAGCGTTCTTCGAGCTGTACCCATGCCATTGTCGTTTTAACTAACAACTTATTATAACAAGATATGTACACTAAATATAATTACATTTCGTTTCGCACGTTTATCGTGCGAGTGAAATATGTCTCTTTCTACCGTGACATCTAACACAACATAACTCGGTGCAACTAACAACACCACCAGGATTTCTGACTCTTTCGCACACACACAAAGAAAATGCGGCATGTTCACATTGGGACGGATCTCCTCAAATCTCCTGTCTAGTCTCAAGTCTAGTGGACGATTTATGAAATACATCTGGGCGGGAGTTTTGGTTCATTACCAAAATCTCGAGAAATTGAAATATCTTTTTTCGCGGAATTTAGAAAAATGCTTCAAATAAAAGTTGTAGGTATTGACGTCCTCTACAAGAAAGGTTCTATAAATTTTTCGTCTAACTTCAATATTTAACGAGTTAAGTACGATTAATTGGCATTTTATGGGTACTGATAAAATATCCACATCGAATCAGCAAAAATTTCGTTTTTCCTCAAATACTCCTAAACCGTTGGATCTATAGAAAAATTGCATATGACCTTTTCTGTAGTTGACAACTAGAGCTACAATTCCTATACGAAATTTTTTCGCTAGTGTTGATAGTTAACGAACAATTTACAAAAATCGAAAAAACAGTTTTTTATAAATTAGTCGTTAACTATTGACGATAGAAAAAAATGTTTAGATAAAAGTTGTAGTTCTCGTTGTTCGCTACAAATAAGGTCCTATGTAATTTTACAGTCTTTTTCTATCTCGAATACTTCAGACGTAATCGATTAATTATTACGTCCATCGTCAAATACTTCTTAACGTGTTGATTTAGGAGACTATAAAAAATGCTGGAGTTTATCGATTTATAACAGGATTCTCTGCCTCCGGCGTTTGTGAAATCTCGAAGTTCTTGGCCAGCGTTGTTACACTTTGCCAATGTCAATTGCGCAACAGCAACTATAACCGAGCCGACCGCGACAGCGATCCGATTGCGTTCCCACTCACTTTGCTCTTACTCGTTACATACATAAGGTTCGAAGGTTTATTCTTTCTGCCCTCGAGCACTGCCCTTCCTTTTTCCCTTTCTCGCTCTTATTATTTTTAATCGCCTGGAACCATTAAATTTCACCAAGTTTTTCGCACGAGAAAACTGCGAGAAGGCCGATGACGTTCTCCCCAGTTCAAGGATACCGAAAATAGCTCGATTCCTGGGAAATGGCTAACGTTTTTAAATAAACAAAAGAGTCTGATAGAAATTTAGCAAGACGCTACAGACAATTCATAGTATGTATCATATCGTATGTGAATACCGACGAGATAGGTATACAATATCGGTTGCAATCCGAGATCCGAGTTGAGCAATTGTGCGACTATTCCTTTAGCTATCTTCCACTTTTCGATCGCCGCGTCGTTTTACATAGGTGTAAGTTTACACGACGATGTTGTAACACACGTTTAACGATGCACACCTGGGAACTGACCATGAGACAATCTTCTCCACCCACTTTTATTACTCATTCTTCAGAGTTTTCAAGAATCGTATCAAATGTCGTCAAATGTTTCTTTCTCTAGAATTTCGGGGGTCGAAGGAATCTCTCGTTTGAAGAGAGAGAGACGGTAGTCGGATTTTAATCCGCTACTCGGGTTTTGCGATATCGAATACGCAGGCACACCAGCTCCGGATTCAAGTATACATATGCGTGGTTACTATGTCGGTTTATTGCCAGCATTCTAACACATTTACCTCTGCTCGGTGAACATTTGATACCCAGTTTTCGGTGAAAAAATGTGTCAATTTATCTATCTCCCGACAGGTTTACAAAGGCCTGCATATAAATAGGCTGACAGGATCACCGAATGCATTCAATTCGTTCGTTGCTTCCTGGACGTCGAACAAATCCATCTACCCTTCATCATGTTCAGAGTAAGTAAAATCGCATTGCTGTAATACACGCAATGTTTAACTCTTTGAGCCTGCGTCGTGAGATTATCGTCTTTTTTCTTCGGATCGTTCTAATCCGTCGATTTCACGTTTTTTCTCAGCAGCTACTTATTTGCGGTTGCTTGCTGGCGGTCCTGGCGGTCGCACAAGCTGGCGTGATAGCGGGTGGTTTGCTCGGGCCCGCGGCGGTCGCAGTGCAGCCAGCGGCAGCCACGGTCGCGATACCATCCATCGCAACATCCACCTCTAATTTGATTCGGGGTATTGGTAACTTAGGTGCCATTTCGGCGATCTCTAAGAGCGAAGATACGCCGTTCAGTAGCGTCAGGAAAGCGGACGTGCGCATTAACAATCCTGGAATCTTGACGGCGACCGCTGTCGCAGGTACCTGAATACGGGGTGCCAGTTTACTCTTCTGCTCTGCAACCTGTTCTCGCTTGCCGACACGCTTCCTTTACGCTACGATCAGAGTTTTCCTTTATTTCCCTTGTCCAACCGCTCGTCGATCCAATTGAAAAACGTTTTGTTATCTGTGATTTCAGCTCCTGGACTTCTCGCACCTGGACTTATCGCACCTGGATTGACCACCGCATACGGTATTGCCTCTCCGGCTATCACCGCTGCCGGCTTACCTTTGGGTCTTAATGGTTTGGCATTGAACGGGCTAGGTGCCGTCAAGGTTATCTAAGGCTGTCTAAAAACCGACTCGAAGAAATTCGAAAGCAAGATTTTACATCGCCATCGATCACGAGATATACAACGTCCCTGTCGGTCGCGAATCATTCCGAACGATTTACTTTCACGAAATGTAATAATCGAATATTCAATAAATATAACAGTCGTCTACGTCTATTCTGTGCAGATTCTTATCGCTGTAACGGGGCGGGGTGTAAAAATTAAAGAGAAATAATTTGCTTTGTTCAAGCGATATACGCTATATTTAATAAATAAAAAGGTCGAAAGTACGAAAGTACATGCGCATATGCATACATGACGATCGTGGATACAGTAGCTGATAGGAGTCAGTTAATTTAGTGGTCGGAAGAAGTGGAATTCGGGAAAACGGATTACCAAGCGTAGGAGACACCGATGGGGCTGGAGTAGGTCATGTGCGAAACAGCGACTGCGGGGGAGTAAGCTACTCCGAGGAGCTGAGCCGGTTGAGCAGCGTGGGCCAAGGGTGCAGCATGTGCGGCGTATGCCAAGGGAGCTGCTTGTGCGGCGTATGCCAACGGGGCTGCGTGTGCGGCGTATGCCAGCGGGGCGGCTTGAGCGTAGATCGCCGGGTTGCTGACACGGATGTCGGATCTGCTGGTGCTGGAGAACGGAGTAGCGATGGTCTTCGATTGGGTCGCGATCTGCGCCAGATTTCCGCTGCTGCGGAGGATGTTGTCTGACGTCGAAGTCAGAGCGTACTGCTGGGGTATGAAACCAGCGTTGCACATGGCAAGGGCGCAAACGAGAATCACGATCTGAAAGAAATCACCCGAGTTAGAGAAATTGTCAATGCGTAGATGTAGGCGAAGATTAACTTTCGATGTAACAGTAGTTACGATATCAGAAAATAGACTATTTGGCACTGCTTACCTTGGAGAACATTGTGAGGAGGGTTTTGCTCGTTTCGTTGATTGAATGTACGAAATGGTGCGAAAGCAAATGTGTACCGATCGTCTCGTAGCCGAAATCTTATATAGTCCGCCCGGCTAAGAAGCGAACGAGATAGAACCGGATGAAAGGTGGGGTACAAGGGCGTGTTTCGGATGGTTACATCTGTACGCGTGATACATATGTAGGTACGTACCTACCGAAAAAACTTTCGCCATATAATAATCGTTCGCGTTCGTATATGTTTCTGTTCGCCACGCCCGGTACCTGCTTTTACATTTTTTCCTTTTCTCTCTTTCGACGTTATTTCTCGTTGACTTGTTCCCTCCTTGGCCTTGGACTAAAAATCGAAAACCGTTGTCGACTGGCCACTGTCGCAAAAGAGAGCAAAAACCTGCGATCCATTTACTTTTACCCTCTTGCCAAATTTCTCGTCGGTCACGGACGGACGTGGTATAGTCTAAATAGCGATGGGAACGATAACGTGATTAAATAATTACGACCGCGCGTTGCGAAACGTACCCCTTACTTTGTGCGAAATGTGTCGCATAAAATTCGTTAATGAGCAATCAAATTTTCGTTTATCACTCAACCCGCGAGAAGTTATTTCTCGCCTGTCTATAAACTGCCTGAGATTTACGGGGAATGCCATAATTTATGAAACAATTCAATATTCCTTTTTTGCATCTCCAGACGTTCTTATCGTCATCTTCTCGCGATTAAAATCACTTCAATTTGCAATTCTGCTGACGAAATAAGTTTGTTCTATTATATGTATGATGTCCCATACGTTTGAAAATACAGGACCGTCCAGATAGGAGCAGGACGACAATCGCATATCGGTACATAAAATGAAAGAAGCGATACAATTGTAAGTTGAGCCGGTAGAGCCGGCTGTAGTTATAAAGCAACAAGTGGTTTTAACCAAAATATGTATCGAAATAAAACAATTAGCAGTCTTACAAATGCTGAGGACTGTGAAAATCCTTCACAGCAGTCCTTACGAGTTCAAAATTCAAATGAGGAGGTAATTAAAGACATATGATCCTGAAGGTTGGAATAAACTTATCATCAGTTGAAACAATGATTCTTCTTATTCCTAGTTCGAAGAGTTAATACGAAAGAATATTTGTAAGCCGGAGATTACAAAAGTATTGGATAAAATTTTCGAAACGTTTTCCGATTCTGACGCCTGTCAATTAAAACGACGTAAGCTCGTCGAGTCCACCTTGAAAGAGTTGGCGAAAGTCAACGTACCTTCGGGGCAAGCGAATACGATCGTGAATCGAATAATTTCGGACATCCCACGATATTCCAAGCAACATCTGGTTAAACTCGTTGAGTTCTGTGTCGCGAACATTCGCAACGATGACGACCCGATACATAGGTAAATTACTATTATTTGTCTCTCTTACGTCTCCATGAAATATTTATTAAATAATACTTCCTCGCTTTTCAGCTGGAAGGATTTATTACCCGTACTGCTTGAAACATTGGAAAATGAAAAGTATGTTACACTCTCGCACGGTGAAGTTTCTGGAAAGGAATATAAAGAGATAATCGTTAAAGACATATGCAATTCCCGATGGGACGTTAATATTCTGCCACCTTTGACAAAAATGTTTGGGTAACTTATTTCGAGATTCTTAACACTGCGTAATATATATTATAATCGTATGGGTGAAAAATCTGTTTCTTATTCCAAGGGATGTAGCACTGGATAAAACGCATCGTTCTATGGTTTTGAAAAGTCTATGTTCTGCTCTTCCTCGATTACCCTTGGATCAAGTACCTTCCTTCGTTTATCAGGCGTTAAAATTATGCAAAGACAAAGATAATCAAAAACTTTTGAGTGCATTATCCAAATACTTTGAAAATTGTTATTTGAAAACAGTAGTGATTTCCAGCGACGAACAAGACTTTGAAGAAATCGGTGGGTACAGTTATCTTTGCAACGTCTCGTTCGATAGCGCATTTCGTATATTAATGTACACATTTACACTTGTAGGTACGATTAGTCTAAAAGAAGTACAAGAGAACGAGAGCACCGTTTTGTATCATGTCTACCAAGCTGCTCGGTTAAATCATGAGAACATGAGAGATTTTATTCGTTTCATTAAACAAGTATCTTACGCTCCCGAGTACATGCTACAACCATTTATGCTCGCCGTATTGATGACGGTCTCGAGCATATACGAAGATCAGGTAACAAAATATTTACTGCCACGCTCTTTGCTTGAATTGGAATTTGCTTTTTCTGTTTTATGCAAAATTTGATAGATCTATGAGACGCTAAGGACTGGCATCGTTAATGATAGTCTAGAGAAATCGAAGAGAGAATGTAGTGCATGGTTGAGACAGCTTTTACCTCCTCCTCGTAACATAATCGAAATTATTCGACGGGTCATCGAGAGCAGGTCTTGGATTCGTTTATTATGTTTCCTCTTCTCCTCGCGTTTACTCGTTCCATCATCATCTGATCATTCTACAGCAATAAAGATCGGCACCTGATACTGAAAGGACTCACCGATCTAGCTTTTACGTTAATGAAAGTCGAACAGAAATCGAAGAACAATGCGACAGTCATGTGGCACATAGGATCCGACATAATACAAGAGATTATTAAAAAACGTCATGAAACTGTTCCGGCTGTGTTACAAGAGTTGATTAATAAAATAGTATCAGGAGGTACATCAACAACCCATTATACAGGTAACGAAATAATAATTAAACATAATAAACGTACGCATGTGCCTTACTCCGCATATCTTGCAGGTTGTTTAAAGTACGCTTGTCGTGAATTATCAATGATCGTCTTGGATCATCAGGCCTTGATTATGACCATCCTTGAACGATTGTTATTCTTGCCCAGTACAGTTGCTAGTCAAGTTTTAAACGCTATGTCTCCATTGATGCACGTTTCTGCTAATATACGAGAAAATATCCTCTTGATTTTAAGGAAAGCTCTATATCGCAAGGGTGTATCCAAACGTCAGATGGCTGTAACAGGATTTCTTGAAATGCTAAAATATTCTAAAATGTATTCTCGGGACAACTATAGGCTCAGCCAGCATTCCAATTCCTCGTTTCCTTCTAATTCTAGGTCGATGTTGACTCAAGTAATATACTATAATAGATTTATGCAGTATGAGTAAATAATAACTAAGCATTGATATGTAAAAACATTTAGGCGACGTTGGAGAGCAATTCACAAGGAGAAAGATTTACTCCGCAATTCGACAAGAGTTTGTGCTACGAGATACTGGACATATTAAAAAAATGTTTCACTTTCGAGTTCGAGGTCAGATTGCATTTATACGAAGGTGAGAAACGATTGTGTAGTTGTGAGAATTTCTATAAACGATATTACATCTTCAGGATTGTACGACGCTATTACCAAAAACCCTGGTATCATCGAAATTTTGATAGATATGTTTCTTTCACACTTGAATCTTTACGTCGAAACGGATGATAGTATTTTGCCACCTGTAAAATTCGATCTGTGTATAGAGATTCATGGAACAGAGGTGGTTTTACAGGAACCAATCGGGCAATTGATATTCGCGTTGCAAAAAATATGCGTTAATTCAACTGCGAGATATTCAAACGTTTTCGAGAAGTTGCGCGATACCTTGGAGTTGTTATGCAAAGGGATGGCAGCCACGCAACTGGAACATTTAAACCTGGTAACGATAAAAGTTAAAGCAAAAGTTTAATGTGTACTTGGCAAGCATAATATCTCGATCGTTCTAGGATAATGGAATTGACTATCTACACGAGGACTTCCCTAAACCACAAAGGAAGTTAAAAACTCTTGATGCATCTTTTGCTGTCTATGAAGCTTTGATGGCGTATCGTATTGTAGAATGGTCAAAGGGAAATACAGACGGCAGCCAGATTACTGATTTATTTAAGGGCTATACGCGATTGACAGATTTCATTAGAGCGGTAGTTTAAATATCAGATTTTCTCCTTAACATTTACGTTCAAATTATAATACAACACTTTAATGTAGCAATCTACGAAAGCGAAAAAGGCTGATGGTAAATCTAAAAAAGACAAGGAAACAAATAACACGACGATCAAAAAGCCTATCAAATCGAACGATATCAAAATACCGACCACCATTATGGATTTGACAGTGATACGTGATTGTCTATCACTTTTATTTTCGTGAGTATGATACTAGTCGAATATTGGAAGATTGGGATTTCATATGAAAGTTTCACTTGTTTCCAAGCAGTCAGTCTTCAACTCAGGACGATAACGTGCTTCGAAAAAATCAAGATTTCTGTTGTTACATATTACGAACATGCGAACAGCTTTTACAACACTCGAGACCATTCATAAACGACTCTCTCCATACGAAAAGCAAACAGTGCATAAATACGTACATCGACATTGGAAGGTAAAATCGAGACGGACGAGCTGTTCTTCCTGTTTCTTTTTTAATCATTGTTAACAGGAAGGTTTCATTGTTAGGCTACTTTATCAGAACTTTTTGCTATGCCTGAACGATGCTTTTTCAAAAAACGAACGAGCGGCGGTACTAGCTTTGCAATGTTTCAAAGAAATTTCTTGTTGGATGTGTACATCTATTTCATCTGAGTTGCCAGCGTTTCTCAATTCGATCCGTACGTTGTCATCCATACAAATTGTCAAATTCGTGTCGTTTTCACGGTATTTACTTTCAAATGATCTTCTTTCAAGTTGGAACGCGATCTAGAGTGTCGCAAAAGTCTTCTTCAAATGTTGATTCTCAATTAGAAGAAATTATTTTATCATTAAAACCTCACTTGAAAGCCGCGCTCGTTGAAGACGCAGAAAGCGAGGAGAAAAAGAAAGTAGCACTTATTCTACTAGAAATAATGAAACAATTTTCATATAAGATAAACTTTGAGAAACATACCTCTGATAAGGTTCGTATATTATTCTGTATTTCCTTATTCCGTATATGCGAATTACGTTTATTATTTTTAATTCGATTTAAAAGATACTCGAAGGTATGAGAAAAATGCTGGAAGAAGAAGATATCCAAACTTCCAACGTGCCTGCAATTGTGCAGTTTTTCTTGGAATTGGAAGAATATGCTCGAGAATACGGTGCAACGTTCAACGATATCTGTTTGGAATTATGCAAAAAAGTTGGAACCATCGACGGTGTAAGCACTATATAGTTTTAGGCTTTAATTTAAAAATATTTTAGTGCAATTTTTAATTTCAACCAAATTGTTATTCGTTTTTAGGTGACAGAGTTAGAAACAAATAGAGAGTACAAAATTGTACGCGACGACACCGTGTTACCAATTTACAACACGTTGAACAATCATATCAAAGAAAAATTGAACAATAGTTCTTGTTTGTTTATGCGATTAAAAGCGGAGGATAACGTAGCTCGAACAATGATCGACGGTGAAGAAGGTAAGGACGAACTTAAAATTCTTCTATATTAATCTTGCGTAACACTAGAAATGAGAAAGTTCTATCATTGATGAACAGGCATGGACAATCTGAAAGAAAAAGAGCGTCATTTGTGTAAACATTTATCCTATCTTGCTCAAGTACTTCATACGTTAGCTAACACAGCGATGAAATCGATCTCGTGTACTGACGCTACATTTAAGAATTTGCATTCCTTGTACCATTTACTCGTGTATTTAACAAAATACTTCTGTGTAAAATCGAGCAATCAAAACGCAGCGTTCCAAGCAGTCAAGTATGTATTATATTATCATCACTTTTTATTCGAAGTTAATGATCTATTTATTAATCGAAGTCGATCGTTAATCGTAGATTTATCCAAACCGTACAGTTAGCTGGTAAGCCGCTGAAGTCTGCGTTTTACAATTTAGTTGCGTACGTGGAGGTATGTAACTTTTAAAAAATGGCTAACATAAATTATGGACTTATTTTTAATCAAGAATATTCGCACCGAAGGAGAATCAAAATGAGTCGAATTCCAAGACCGACTCGTACGCTCAAAGGAATAAGATTTTAAAAGAAACTAAAGTAATACCTCGCGTGGTATACGAGATCGAACAATTTAACAAAGAGATATTGTTACTTGGAAAGAGAACAGATGTAAGTATCGAATGCAACCCAAGGTAATATCTTACTCTTCGATCTACTTCTCATACTTGAGTTTTAACTTTTGCGTAGATACCACTGGAAAATTACATAAAGCACAGCGTGACGAGAGATTTCAGAATAAAGAATGTCGAGTTGGTGGAGGCACTCGAGAGACTGGACGCGAGCTTGGTAATATAAATTACCGACAAAAGATCCTGAATCGAACGTCGGTTTCTCTGTACGATAACAAACTTTTTCCTCTTTCAATAGCTCACTGGAACGAGCACACACGACCCATCCGAAACTAGTACCTCGCACATAAACGAGGCTGATAGCGACAGCGAGGATACGACTTCTCCTAAACGAACCAGAATGGAGGATTGAGATATATTCGATAGAAATGTATAAACCGTTTTCGTACACATTTAAATATTTTTTTATAAAAAGTATTTCCAGAGAGGTTCTGTACAAGTGTCAGCTATTTTCATTAGTTTAGTTACCTATAAAATTGTGATACGATTATAATTCTATGCTACAAAGTCCAGCGGCCTGTTGAATCCTCCTTTTCTATTCATATACTGTCTGTACTTCCTTTTCAAGATAACATGTACAGCTCCCACGTCATTCCCGTCAACTTTCTTGCCTTTAGTAGTATCAAAACCACAGAAACCCATTATTCTCATCATTTCTTGTTCCTCCGGTGTTTTCCCCTGCAGATCGGCTTCTGCAAGATTTGTTCAAATATCTGATCGAATCATTTCGTATTTACTTCAGCAGATCATTCTTTTACATTCCACTTACCTGTTATCACAGGACGTTCTGATGTAGCAGTTTTTAATTTTGGCTTTGGCCTGTCTCTCTCCCTTGACCTCGACCTGCTGTACGAACGTCTGTATCTGTCTCGTTCACGATCGCGCTCCCTTTCTCTATCCCTCGATTTCACTCGATCTCGTTCAACCGATCTAAAATAGTTTTCCGTTATACGTACACATTTTACTAAACAGAGCCGAAAATACATACCTCCTTCTTCTCTCCCGAGAACGTCTTCTTCTTCGATCTCTGTCCCGTTCGCGTTCCCGATCTCTTTCTCGTGATCGATCTCGTCTTCTCCCTGGCGAAGGTGTACGACTACGACCCATGTCACGCGTTTCTTAATTTTTCGTCGCGTATCAACAACGATGTAGGAGTAGGTGCATACAGTTTAAATATTCCGTATCTCCGCGATCCTGTTTAGTACAGACAATATACGAATCCACACAAATAACAGAACTAGGTTAGGCACAGTACTAACCACAATGGGGTAAACAGAAATGCACATTATGTTGATAGAAATATAGATTGCGCGTTGCCCATAAGGAAGCAGACGTTCCGATTTAATATAGGACAGATCGCTTTTTGGAAAAACATACTCTACTAATTACTGTCTTTTTTTTCATTGTAAGCTAAGAAGGAGAAGTCGTGGGAGTAGCACAGACCGCACAGACTAGTGGGAGACTCCTTTTTATTACATGCAAATAGAACAGTTTAATACCGATCGATATGGCTTATCGTCTTTATCAATTTCGTGTGTATGTCTCATCAGTCTCATCTCATACTCTCTTGGAAATAAAGAACGTGGAGGAACATAAATCGCAGAATGTTTAAAATTATTCGAAGAAATAATTTGTCTACGGAAAAGATCAGATCATTCAGCAACTTCGTAAAAGTAGTCGAAGTCGGTCCTCGAGATGGACTGCAAAATGAGAAAAACATAGTGCCGACTAAAGTTAAAATTGAACTCATCGATAAACTAACGGAAAGTGGTTTAAGAACCATAGAAGCGACCAGTTTTGTCTCTCCAAAATGGGTTCCACAAATGTCGGACAACGCTCAAGTTTATCAGAATATTAATAAAAAGCCGAACGTTTCATATCCCGTTCTGGTACCGAATGCAAAAGGCTTAGACGATGCCCTAAAAGTCGGCGTAAAGGAGATAGCTATATTCAGCGCCGCATCTGAGGCGTTTTCGAAAAAAAATACTAACTGTTCCATCGACGCTGCCGTGGAAAAAGCCAAATTGGTTATCGAGGAAGCGTTGAAGCACGATATCAAAGTCAGAGGATACATATCCTGTGTCGTTGGTTGCCCTTATGAGGGTGAAATTAAGTCGACGATCGTTGCCAATTTAGCAGCGGCTTTACTGCAATACGGATGTTATGAGATCTCTCTGGGAGACACTATAGGTGTGGGATCGCCTAACAAAATAAACAATTTGTTACACGACTTGGAGAATGTGTCTAGCGATATGAAAAAATTCGCGCTTCACTGTCACGACACTTATGGCCAGGGTTTAGTTAACGTTTACGCAGGACTCGAACGCGGCATACGAGTTTTCGACTCGTCCGTAGCCGGACTCGGAGGTTGTCCATACGCGAATGGAGCTACCGGGAATATCGCTACTGAAGACTTGCTTTATCTCTTACACGGGCAAGGATTAGAAACCGGAGTAGATCTTAATGAAATAGTTAAAATAGGAGAGTTCATCTGTAGTCAACTTCAACGGAGAAATCAGTCTAAAGCGGGTGTCGCGATTCTCTCTAAAAACAATTAAAAAAAATGTTCGTTATTCCAATTTTATTTTTTTCTTATTTTCGAATTAAGAAACGAATATGAATTTGTATTGGTACTATTTTTTTATATTATTTTTACTTAGCCGATCTAGTACTTGAAAAATTTATATACAACACTCTTTAAAGTTCAATTATTATTATTTCTTTTTCCTTCTTGTATACACAATCAATAGAAATATAGGACATCGACGATCCAGCACGCTGCTTCTCTTAAGCCGACATACTTTCGATATCAAGAACATACGTTTCTTGTAAAGCCGGTTGTATTAAACAAAAAAAGAGATACATTATAATACAGGAGGCCGATTCATGTTTAGTGTTACGAGATGTTCGATAGTTCTTGTAATATGGCCTGTGTATCTAACGAGCTTAAATCTATCGAGCCTCGGGTATCGATCACGACTCCAGTCACCTGGAAGATGATGCGTTAACGAATATTCTACGTTATCCTAGAGAAAGGAAAAATGTCAGATTTACCATTTCTTCGAAAAACGCAACGTGATCAGGTTTTTCGGAATATCTTTCGTACTGATCCAAATTGTCTTGCAGCTTTAACGTAAGGCTATCGTAGTTCTGTATTATGATAGCTAAGATTTGCTGCTCCGTCGGCGTGGACAAACTCTCGCTCGTCAACCATGCCGTTATTTTTGGTGGAAAGTGATTGACGATGTCTCTCATATTCACTAAACAGTTCGCCAATTTCAACGCGTGCTCCTTATACTCGTAAGACTCGCTCGTCGAATAACGAAGCGCTTCAACATACAAATCATATCATTCATTACTAATCTTTATACAATTCAATCTTTAAAACGTTCAAAAACTTTATTTGTTTAATATATATACCCATCGCGTTCAAATTCGTAAAAATAAGCCTCATTCGTATTATCTCGTAAAATAATTCGTCGTAACTACTAGGAGAAGACAAGAACGTATCGCCGTACGTAATAAACAGGTTCAGGATATTCACGACCTAGAAGCGTTCAAATCGAACAAATAGTTAATTCAATCGATTCGCGGGTCGTACATCGGAACCCGTTGACGCGATTAAGGATGTATTGGCTATACAGTCAATCCCGAAAGTTTATGCACTTTAGAAACGCATTTTTTAAAAAGAAATCAGACGTCGGAAGAACATTGCTAATAATAAACAACAAA